ATGGCGTTATATGCCGAAGGACAATCCGCCACGTGAAACTCCACGGGTCTGGTCTTTGTGATTCCTCCTTCTCCTATGGTGACTTTGAGCGTGATCGAGCCGAGAACACGAACCTTGGTGCCGGAGAACCCTACCAAGCTGGTGGTTGAAGGGTTGAGATCTTGGATGCTCTTTTTCATCCCTTTGAGCGCTGAGTAGAATAGTATGTCCGCCGAGCTCCCATTATCGACTAGGGCTCTAGTGACTTTGAACTTGGCGGTTCGAAAGGAAATGACCAAGGGGTCTTCCGAGTTTTCTTCGTTTGCCAACTCAGACGGTAAGAAGGCGATCTCGGTCGGTGCTCTCCGCTGCACGTTAAGACATTGAGCGATGCGCTCTCCTTCAGTTCTTGGGCGCTTCCGACCTCCTGCAATCGTTATGACTTCCATCCCATCATCCTCATTTCGAGGAGCCCTGTATGGAGGAGACTGCCTCGGGGAGGCGACCTTGTTTCGAGAGCGGGACCTTGATCTTTCCTTTCTTGTGCGTCTCGTCTTGTCCTGCTCGGGACTTGGGGACTCCTCCCGCTCTTCTGCTGAGTGTTCTCTGTGGGACCGCCTCATTTCTAGCTTGCTTCTGAGGTCCTCTGGGGCCAGATGTCGGAGCGTGGCCTTGAACTCCCTACACTCCGTGGTGTCATGGGTCGTGATTTGGTGCCAGTCGCACCACTTTTTTCCTTCTTGCGGTTCCTGGGCGGAAGACGTCTCGTGCTTCCTTCCGCCTTTCCTTCGGTCCCTTCCCTTTTCTCTGTCGGTGGAGAGGACATCTCTTCTTCCTTCTCGATCGGGGTACCGGTTCCGGTACGACCTTCGGTCCGGGGACCGCCTTCCCCTCCGGGACTCTCCACGCTCTGAGGCGTCTCCTCTGGGTCGGCTTTGCTGGCCTCGGTCGTCGTTGGCTAGCGCTTCCTCCAACAAGATCGCTCGTCGTACCAGTTGGTCTAAGTCAGACCAGGCCGCCAAGGTCGCCTCCTTTTTTATCAACGTTCTTTTCAGTTCGAGACTAGTTGTCGAGATTCGGAGGTTTCCGGCGGCCACGACTGGGGAGATACCGTCTATTTCGCAAGCTATCGCGTTCCATCGGTCGTAGAACTCAGCAAGCGACTCTTCCTTCCTTTGTCGGCAACCTATGAGTGCCGAGACGGTGAGTTTGCGACGCCGTTGAGACGCGAACTTGGTGGAGAAGAGCATCGCAAACTGCTCAAAGTTTTCTATAATCCCCTCCGGAAGGGAGGTGTACCAAGTTCGGCATTGACCGCTGAAGGTAACCGGGAAGGCACGACACAGATCTGAGTCCGTCGCGTTGATGAGTTGCATTTTTAACATGAACGCGCAAAGATGGTCGGCGGGATCTGACGTCCCACCATAGGTTGGTAGTCCCAGAGAGGAGAAGTTCGGGGGGACCGGGGTCTTGAAGAGTTCTCTCGATATAGGGTTTTGCAGAACGTTCGGGCTCTTGTGCTTCCCGAAGGTTGACCGCAAGTGCTCCTCTAGAAAGTTGAGGTCCGGGTCGTCGGCCTCTAGTCCTCCACCTTCTGTCCGAGCAGGGCTGTCGAGGATGAGAGCGCCTTTCAGCTTCTCGTCGCGCGCCTTTCCCCTCGAGCCCTCGGCGGGGTCGTCTCGGGTCTTCAGGAGTTGGAGAATTTGGGAAAGGCTGTCTTGCATGCTTGCAATTTGCATCCCTTGGTTCTTGACCACTTCTTCCAACTAGGGCTCATCTTCCACTCTCGGTGATAAGCCTCGGAGGGTGTTGTTTTCGGTCATCCCCTTGAGGGGGGTTTCGAAATCGTCTCCCATCTTGTTCGCCACAAAGTAGTAGGGCCCCACGGTGGGCGCCAAAATGTTTGTGCCTGGAATGTACCAAGCGGTTTGTGAGACTCTACTGGTCTTGGGCGGCTTCGATGGTCGAGGGCGGTCTCCGAAACCCTGCAGAAAGGTCCTCAGGGGGATCCTGGGACCTCCTCCGATGCCTAAGTTAGAGAGAGAAGTGAAGAGTAAGTAAATAAGAGAGAGAATGGAGTTGGTATAAGTTACCCTCAATGTGACCCTATGAGAGGTATTTATACTAGTTTCGACTGGGTTATGCGCATTAAATGCTGTGTCGGGCGGTCTAGAACGCCTCTGGCTTTTCCGTTGCCCCTTGTCAGACTCCGTACGTAAAAGCCGTATTGTCGGGCGGTTCTATGCCCGTACCCTTTCTGTTGTGTCGGGCGGTTCATCCTTGTTGGATGTGTTGAACCGCCTCTGGTCGGGTTCTTCTACTCGGGCCTTGCCTGTCCTTGCTTGGGCCTTGAATGCCTTTGGGCCTATGGGCCCTGTGGCTCAATGCTTGGCCTAACAGGGAGGAAGTTTGGTTTAACTGTTTGGGATCCATCAAATACCACACAAAATTTATCATTATTTGGTATTATCGATTACTGAGTTAATTTTTTTGGTTTGTGATTGACATTGATTTTTAAGTAGTATTCAATATTCTAGATATGCAATTGGAATTGATATATACCAAGATATCGAGCATTCCCAAAAAATTTAACATGATACAATAAACCTTCCCTTAACTCACTCAGCCTGAAAGCCCGCTCAAATAAATGAAGGACACGGTTCATCCTTAATAACCAAATGTATAATTAACTATATGATTGTAAGAAATGACTAATTCTTATTGACATGTGTGTATGCTCTATCTTAGAAGAATGAATTGCTTAGTTGTATTGATGAGTAATTATAGTTAAACTAAATTGAGATTTAGAGAATTATGAGTGATTTAATAATATTGAAGTATAAGTTTTGTACATATGATTGTAATAAATGACTAATTCTTATTAACTTATGTTTATGTTTATGATGAAATATTTTAGAAAAATGAATTATTTAGTTGTATTGAGGAATGATTAAAGTGAAACTAAATTTGGATTAGAAAATTATGAGTTATTTAATAATAGGGAAGTACAAGTTTAGTCAATTGAACATAATACCCCAGTATTTATATACACAAAAGAGGAAGTTTTCAATATCGCGTGTTCAATTCAAACAACTTTATTATTGTTTGTAATATGACGTTATTTAATTTAGTATTTGATATATAACTCTTTGTTTACCTTGCTGCTTTTGCGCCAAAAGATTTGTTGTGTTACACTTGCCCCTTCTAACCCAGTTTGTATGCTTGGGGGTATAAGCTGTTATACTAACATCATATCAAACTATTTCATATTGAGATTGATTTAGTCGATATTTAGCATTTGAGGTACCAATAAACTTATTTCTCCTAGTCATAGCAAAGTCCATACACTGATTAATGACTAATGACATGTAAAACTTGCAACTAAGTATAACATTTAATTAGTCATGAATCTATGGCAAAAAAATATGTGAGAAAGAAAAAAAAACCCTTTAACAGAAGTCCTAGTGAAAGAAGAAACTTTCCTAATCAACAACTGGAAAAACGTGGGTTAAAAAGAAAAAAAACTCATACATGAAAAGGAAAAAAGAACTCAATTAGGGTAAGTCCTAACGGAAGAGGGGAACTTGCCTAATCGACAGTTAGAAAAACGTGGATTAAAAATTAAAAAAAAAAAACTTATACGTGAGAAGAAGGAAAAAACTCATTTAAGGTAAGTCCCAGCGAAAGAGGAAAACTTGCCTAATCGACAGTTAGAAAAACGTGCATTGTAAGAAAAAATAATTTTTAAGGTAAGTATTAAGTGGTCCTACGGTACACCCTCCCACATCTCACAGACCCCTTAAGCATACTTGCACTTTATATATATACTAACTAATGATACAGTTGGATGTGTTTTCAAAAATAAGATCGTGATTACTGCTTTCAATTAAATTGATTTTAGAGTTTTGTGTTTACAAATTTGGTCTAGATTACAAATAACAAGTAGAATTAGACTATTAGAGTATATTACCACATTTCAATAACATCATCTTATTAAGAGTATAACCTACCCTAAATTCACTTTCACTGGGTACCATAAGACTCAAGATATATAATATGAACAGGCAGTAAGTAATTATGACCGTGCATCGACATTAGAATAAACTATATAACTAGACAATACAAATCCAAGTTTGGAAATGCTGACATGCTTTTCCTTTCGCTATATACTAGGAATGGGAGAATTCGAAATGAATCCACTTGCATTGCTATATACTAGGAATAGAAATTCAATTTTCAGTTTTGCTATATACTAGGAATAGAAACGTAAATAGTAAAAAAAGTAAATAATCATGACTTCCATGCATGCAAGCATGAACACGTACAAAAACGCGTCGAGACAGCTCCATGCAAGAGAGACGAGTGGTGAAGCGATTAACTTGCAAGCCCACTAAAACAACGATGGAAAACAATTAACACGACCTTAACCTGCTTCTCGCTCTCATGTGAAGTGGAAAACATTTCTCAACGCAAATCACAGTGTCATTAACCAACTTCAAACTCCAACATAGCTACAACCTCCTCCTCTCATAATTTCCAATCAACTCAATTCCCTCCATCCATTTTTTTTTGTTTTCGGTTACATTAGATCCGTTTGTCTGTTTTTAGTGTGAAGTGTTAGATTCACACAAATATGTATCGCTACCTCAGAAGATATAGGGAAAGAAAGAAAGAAGTGCACGACGCAGGTTGTACTCGCCCAAAAATACCACATCGCGAATACCACTATATTATCATCGATCAGTTACTCTTTTCCATTGGGTTGTGGAGGGTGTTCTATCTATCTCTTGCAAATTTCTTCAACAAAATTCTGAAATCAAATTCACAAACAGAGGGGGAAATCAAAGGGAAAGGAAAAACCTGTCACACAACCAGAAATATTATTCTGTCAATGTTGTCACATTGTATTGAGATGCACTGAAGATTTCCACAGAGAACAAATTCAAGAACCCTCCACTCTTCCCCACCACCACCTTCTTCCATTTTCTCTCCATTTTGGTTTGGGTGTCACATAGAGAGATATGGAGATCACAGGTTCTAACGAGGAAGTTCTGATCATCGCCGCTGCCGCTGCCGTCGCACCAATGGAGGAGCTTCCGGTGGCTGCCGGACAAGTGGAGGTGAAGCTGGCGCCAGGGGCGGAGGCAGAGGCGGAGGCAGAGGTCGCGCTCAAGGAGGAGGCGCCACCGTCGCCTGACAGAATCAACACCAACGAAGCCCCATTTGCCGCCGTCCCCATTTCACAGATCGCCAAGGGGAAGAGGACCAAGCGACATCGAGTTCAATCTCCCGTCGACGCGGTCTCCACCGCCCCTGCCGCCAGTGCCAATTCCTCCGTCGGGGACGAGGTCTTGGAAGACGCTGCTGCAGACGACGACGAGGATTATAACTTCGACGACGACGAAGACGTCGTCGTCGACGACGTCGAGAATTCGACATCGTCGTCGATCCTGCCACCGACGCGAATTGCGCCGGTGGCAGGGAACACCAAGGAAGAGGAGGATATGGCGAATTGCCTTATCCTCCTCGCGCGGGGCCATTCCGTCATTTCCAACAACAACATCACCATCATTTCCTCCCCCAACGCTGCCGCCAGCAACCACGGCGGCGGCAGCGGAGGAGGAGGAAAATTCACCAGCAGGAGGTTCATGGAGACGGCCCCTGCCGCCGGCGGGAAGGCAGGGTACTACGTGTACGAGTGCAGAACGTGCAGCCGGACGTTCCCGTCGTTTCAGGCGCTCGGCGGACACAGGGCCAGCCACAAGAAGCCCAAGAACACCAACAACAATGCCACGACGGCGACAATGCTCAACGGCAGATTCATGACCGTGAACATGTCCTCCGGCGAAGAGGACAACCGCATCAACAGTCTCAGGGACATGAATTCGTCCCTCAACCTTCAATTGAACAGCCAAAACCACCGATCCGGTGGGAATTACAACAATAATGTCGCGAGCTCAACGATGTACGGAATCCACCACAAGGGGAGCAACATCAGCAGCAAGGTGCACGAGTGCGGAATCTGCGGGGCGGAGTTCAACTCCGGGCAGGCGCTCGGAGGGCACATGAGGAGGCACAGGGCGCCTCCCGTCGCCGCCGCGGCGGCAGCAGCTCCCGCTGCTGCAGCTGCTAATGCAGCAGCTGCAGCGAGTGCCGCCGCGACGACCTGTATGTCCTTGGTAACGGCTACCAACGGACATAATAACGGCTATGGTAACGGTAATAATAGCCGCGGTAACAATCACAATTGCAACAAGAACAATGTGGGGGAAGCGACGGCGGCGGGGAAGAGAGGGAGAGACGGGAGCAGTTTGAGCATGTCGTTGGACTTGGATCTCAATCTGCCGGCGCCGGAGGAAAAGCAGCAGCTTCAATCGGCGTTTGCTTCTAAGCAGCAACAGCATCAGCCGCCGCAGAAGAAACAAGCTCTAGTGTTTCCCAGCCCTGCTTTGGTGGATTGCCATTACTAATATAACGAAGCGACTTACTCGAAGACAGGGTTAAACAAGAAAGATGTTTTATATATATGATTGAATCATTTCTTTTTTTAACCCTGCATATATACTCTTTTGATTACTATTTTTTTTTATTGTTTTTTTGTTTTTTACACTCATTCAGCTGAGGAATGAATTGATTGTTCATGTATGCACATACAATTCTTTGATTTGATTACTCATCAAAACAGTGAGAGACAATATTTGACCGTGATCATACATTACGGTTTTTCTTTTGTAATTTTCATGTCTTAGTTTTATTCGGGCGGAATTTACATTATTAATTTGATAGTGGTTTTTTTTTTTTTTTTGTAATTATATTAACTCATCTTGTTCTCCCCCATGCATCTTATGCTGCATGATGGGGGATTGATGATATTTATATATGCACTTACATATGTGAAATGTGCAAAACTAAAATTTTTCTTAATTTTTTTTTATTTTGGATGATTAATAATAATAACAGAGTTTGTCATCGGAAAGGGATGATACTGATGCTTATAATCTATTAAAAAAATACTTTACAATTTTATTTTGTGAGAACTTTTTTTAAAGATATATCCTTATTAGTTATTTATCAAATTTCATTCACTACTTATTCGAGAAATCCTTCACCCTTTTCATAGTATCCCACAATCAAGAGGTTTTCCTTATAATCCAAATCCTCTAAAGTCATCTGTACATCCCTACTCAAAATTATATGCATTGGATCCATTCTTTTCTTCATAGCCCAATCATGCTTGAAGTTACCAGATAACAGCCATTGCATTGCCAATTGGGAAAATGTAAATGTCTCATATGCTTCCATGATGATCAATTCCACATTGATGATGTCCAATGAAGTTGCGAGAGTATGCGTACTTCGTGGTTAATCCTTATTCTATTCTTTTATCTTTTGTAATGGTTGATGATAAGTTAGTTACCTCCAAATGAAGATGTAATGACGATACCGTGTGCACTACTAATAGACATATCCATAAGTAGGTCGAAGGGTGAATATTTGACGACATAACTTGATACCATCAATAGAGAAAGACAGTTTATGAAGTTCGTATTGCACGTGACCCTCTAGACCTGTTTAAAGATCAGACGAGGCAGATGGAAGATGATCTTATGACAAGTTCTTCACACTAGGCATAAAGCATTTTGATGAATGTAAGTCACACTAGGCATAAAGCAAATGACAAGTTCTTCTAGACAGATGAATGTAAAAGTCGGCCACAAAAAGTCGGAAAGACCTCTCACAGAGCAAATTTCATGGTCCGTGAAACGAGCCCAGTTTTCTCCTGGATGCCAAGTGCATACTATATCTCCCAACACTGCTGCAACAAGAGGTACGCCACCGCACCTTTCCACAATTTTCCTTCCAATATATTCCATATACAAAGCATTTTGATGCGAGTTACAGGCAGCTTTCCGCTTGAAGATTGGCCAGCAATCGTCCAGGGACAGCTCTCGCAAACTCGAGATACTACTCGAGTTTAAACTACGGGCTACATTTTGGTTGCATGTTGTTACCAGAACTCGACTTCCCTTGGACTCAGATTCCAGAACTGCAATGATAGGCTGCCATTTTCCAGGGTCTTCTTCCCATACGCCATCGAGAACTTGTGTTGCATACTTAAGAGTGTATGGAAGATGCCCTTGGATTCTTAGAACCAGTACTTGGGTAAAGAGATTCTACCGGGGGCGAATTTCGTGGCGCGTTTTCAGGGGATGAATTGGTGGTCTCTGACCGGGCGATGAAACCCGAATCCCCGGTGAAAACATAGTTGATGGCCTTCCTCTCTGCTGCTGGCACTCGAGGAGGAACCACGGGGCACTCCATGCAGAGCAAGCAAGTCTTAAGGATGAGACGCCCGCGCAAGGACCTCAATTCTCATTAGGAGGTCGAACCAAGGACCTATGGAAGTCGGGGGCTACCCCGGGTTCATCACAGGAGCAATAAAAAGAGGCCGGCCTCTTTTTGTATTCTCAATGCTTGTTGATAGCCCTATGATCTTGTGGAAAGAAAGTCTTGGCTGAATACATGTAGAACCGTCTTTTATTTGATGCATTTCACCAAACAAGAATCGTCCATCCAAATTGCAGGCTACAGACTGAGAAGCACCAGCCACGGAGATAGATACATTGGTCCATGAAAAAAAGTGTTTTTCTCTGTTATTTGTATGCTGAAGATATGAAAGGGAGAGGGATGGCACCTCGTCTTGGGGATTACAAGATAAACAACACAATAACTCCCATCTTAAAGCCGAGATGGCATTCCACCAGCCACCACTAGAGTTTCACCAGTTATGTAGCTAGCATCGTCCGATGCCAAAAACGCCACAGCAGCGCCCATGTCTTCTGTCGTGCCCAGTCTATTCAATAACGTCTGTGCCTCTAGTTCCTTTCTCTACATCAACAAAAAACAATAAGGAAAGAAAGGAAACTGATCAACAAAGGCCATCGCGTAGAAGACTAGTTCGTCGATAAGCATCAATCAAGACGACTTGATTTCTGCTCGATCGACGATGCGAATGTAGCAGTGGTTTCTTACCAGTTCAACATTCCCCGTTATGAAAGAAGCAAAATGTGTTGGCACAAAACCAGGAGCTATGCAGTTCACTCGAATGTCAGGCGCCATCTCGCTTGCAAGGGCCTACTCGAGATAAGGTCGAAACAGTAAACCAAGTGAACAACTTGGAAAGACCAAAGCAACTATATCGTATGCTTGCAAATACAACTTGGGATCCTTACCACACACATACCTTGGTAAGGCCGAGAAGGGCGGTCTTGGTGACCCCATACATAGCCATTGAGGCCGGTGGGTGGTAACCAGCAATGGAGGCAACTAGAACAACTGCGGAACCCTTTGGCATGTGTGGAGCTGCATCCTGCAGAACAAAGAACAAGAGGCTAATATATTTAGCAAATGCTTGATCAAGGACTAGCAGCAAGTAAGCGGGAAATTTCGGTTGGGTTGATTGTGCTGTGTACCCTCAAGAGAAGGATAGATGCTTTGACATTAATCTCCCAGAGCTTATCGAGGACTGAATCCTTTGTGTTTATAATGGATTCAGTGGATGGGTTGGCAGCAGCATTGGATACAACCACATCTACTTTCCCATATTTCTGAAACAAGGCAAATTGTACACCAGATAGACGGATGAGCTAAGCAAGAATCACACCAAATGCTTATCCTATACAAGTTCTAGAAGTGGGCATGGATTGAAATGAAATGGAATTGCTGAATTTACTCATCTAATCTTTATCTAACTCACCTCAACAGTTTTCTCAATGAGATTCTTCCTCTGTTGCGCATTCGAGACATGGCAGACAACACCGATCACGTTCTGGACGCCCTGTGCTCGGAGCTTCTCAACTGCCTCATCTACGTTTTGCTGCCAAGGGATCAACCAATTCATTCCCTTTCAATTTTCTGGGTTTCTTCAAGGGAAAATGGAGTAATTTCAATTCAATTCAATCAAACTGCAAAGCAGAACCAAGTGATTCGAATAGAGAAACAATCAAATAAACCAACTTCTGTGCAGATGATCAAAGACACCAACTTCTGTGGAAGCGACATTAACAGAGCAACACCATTGTCTAACGAGATCAGCCGCAAGCGGCCGAGAAGGAAGAAGACCAGCTTGACAGAAGACAACCCAAGAAGACGGAATGAAGCTATATTGACAGAATCCCAGGAAAGGAATTCTGCAGTCAGTCGAAAGCTTCGATGAAATGAAGGGAAGGAGGAAAAAGGGAACCTGCTTGCGAGAGGAGATAACAATGGATGCGCCTTCCAACCCAAGACGCTGAGCGATGGCGAACCCAATACCCTGAGTGGAAGCGGTGACGATGGCTACCTTTCCCTCGAATCTTCTTCCGATCTTGCTCATCTTTCTCTAACCCTCACTTCCTTTCTTTTCTTTTTTCCTTCTTTCTAGTGTCTCTGTCTCCCACCGACCCTCCTATCTCCCTTTTGCCTTGCTAATAGTAACAGTAAAGCTCAAAAATGGGAGAAAAACTTCAGAGGAAACGGTTTTGACAAGGCCAAATGGGGAAACGATAGGAACCAACGACGTGCCTGGTGGGAAGAAAAGAAGGCTAGATAGACTACTAATGCCACAAACAAATGAACGCCGGCATGGATAGATGATCTAGTTACCTACATTCACCAATCCACAACTTAACTGGACAAATTTGCTGAAATTGTTGAGTTTTTAACTTTTCAACCTAACTCATATAGAGGATTTGTTGGGCTTGATTGATTGGAGGATGTTGGGCCCGAATAAACATGAAATTTTTGTCAGGAAATTCGTCACAAATTTCAATTTTTTTTTTTTGGTTGAATCAAATTTTCGTTAAGAGATGTGTTACAATTTTTTTGAAATTGATAGGTTTTCAATTTTTTGACATAATCACCGCTTTCATACAGGACGAATGGAATACCTCACAATTAAGTGTCACACACTTGATAGATTGTTCTCGCCAAACACTCTCATATTTTCCTATTCAAATCTCATCAGAAACTCGTGTATCAGAAACTCGTGTATTTCAATTAATTAGACTCTGAAGTCACAATGTTGTTTTTTAACCGACAAACTTTGATACTTTTATTGGATGGAAAAAGGCCAGTATCATGCTTGGTCCAAACTTTGCATTAAAAGATTAACTTTTATTTGAAATTTCAAATCTACGAATATGTATGAAAATTTAGCTAAGTTAATGGACATATTTGACCGTTAATTTTAATTGTCAACTTATTTCGCCGTCAATAAATGGTGTTGATATGATTGGCACCTAATTCTCAAATAGACTGTCGCACCATATCATCAATTAAAAATCTTAGACATTTATCAATTCCGTTTGAGTTTGTTTCGATTTTTAACCGCGAACCAAACCAAATGTCCATACTATAGAGTTAAATTATTAACGCAAAATTCATCTGTATAGCCAAAACTTTGACGTTTGTGACAATAATAGCCACTTTTGGGGAAATACCAATAATAGCCAGAAATTTGAAAGTTTCCTGACAAATATAGCCATTTCCGTTACAAACTTTAACGGTGTTAGAAACTCCGTCAGTTAAGTTAACGTTAAACTGACTAGGATGCCAAATCATCACACACGTCAGCGACAAGTCATCAATATCATTGCCACATCATTTTGATTTATCTTTCAACAATTCCATGTGGATAAATGAAAAAAAATATTTGTTTTCAAATATCTTTTTTATCTGAACTAATTTTTTTATTTAAGAAAACTAAATAAAAAATAAAAAAAATTTATCCCACGTCCCTCTCTTCTCTCTACGCAGCCAGCAAAGCACCCCCTTCTTCTCAATTCTTTCTTTCAATTCCTCCCCAAATTCTCTCCCCCTAATCCCTACTCTAGATCAAATAACAAATCGATCTTTATCTTCCTCTTCCTCTTCGAGCTTCTCGCTCTCCATCGTTCTCCGCCGGATATCTCGAGTACAGCCTACCAGGATCGCCGGAGAAGAAGATAGAGAAGGCGACGGCGGGGGATATCCACCCGCATCGACGACCGGCGACAGCTTTCCCAAGTGGAAGGATCCTGTATTTAGTCGATTTGGGTCAAATTTCAACACCCAGAAGGAAGAAAGTGGGTATTGTCATCACCATCGCCACCAAATCCCTAATCCCCAAATCCTTGCCATCGTCACCATCGCCACCATCGCCATCAATCGACAGTGGAGCTGCGATTCTGGGTTGTTTTTGCTTGTTCTGGGTTTTTCATTTGGAAGAGACAAATGGATTCATTTGATTGAGGCGGAAGAAGAACCCCAAATCGAGTTCTCTAGTTCATCCAAAACCCCTAAACTGAAGGGACGAGGTCGGTGGTGCGGCGGAGTATTGGCATCTAAATCGTTCCAAAATCAGAAAACGCAGAGGAGAAACAATAAAAAGGGAAATCTTCTACCGATTATGAAGGCCGAAGATCTCCATCCGCTGAAGGAAGGGAACGATTGTGGATCCCGAGGCCGCGGTGGTCAACGGAGCCAGGAACGATGTCGTGGTCTTCGAGTAAAGGGGCAACAACAACTATACCGTCGGTGACCATCAGATTTTTCCGGAATGAGTGCTTCAGTGGTAGTGTGAAAATGGCGTTGCGGGGATGTAAAATGCCTCGGGTGTTTGCCGGTGATGGATGTGGAAAAAGGGCGGAGGGAAATCAGGAGAGTGAGTAGGTTGGAAGGAGAGAAGTTTTTTATTTTATTTATAGTATTTGTTTTTATTTTCCATAAATCAAAAGACCAACTATTTGGAAATATAAAATTTTAATTATTGTTTTTTATTATTAAATCCACGTAGGAAATACGTACAGGTCAAAAATCGCCACGTTGGACGATCCGCTAGTCCAGTCAGCACGTTAACTAACACCGTCAAACAATTGGACGGAAGTGGCTATTTTTGGTATTTTGTCAATAGTGGCTATATTTGGCCAAATCGTCAAAGTTTTGGCTATACAAGTGTATTTTGCCAATTATTAATTTCAATTTCATTCAAACACGTTTAAAGCTTTCTTTCTTGTCCATGTGTTCCAAAGTTGTTCGATTCTTCCAAGTAGGTGCTGGCTGCTTGCTGCTGCCATGGTTGCTCTGTTGATCACTCCATCCATCCAGCCAGCCAGTCGGTGACCAAAACAATGTCCCAAACTGTTATTGTCACCTTTTGTTCTTCATACAGGACAGAATCAATCACCCTGTACAGCATAATTCTTCTTCCCTTTCGTAAACTGTCGCAGGAACCCTGTGCCTGTCCTGAGAAACCGAGATGCTGCTAATGCAGAATCGAAAGCTGTCCCTCCCGATTCTCGCCGATCCCTTAATCCGATCATCGAATTTCACGGATCGGGGAAATTGGGGTTTCTAATAAGGTTGACGAGAACGCAAACCCAAATCCATTTTCTCCCCTTCCCTTCTCTCCTCCAGAGATCTCTCTGTTTTCTGCCAGATTCCCATGGCGGTGGCGACGACGACTTCAGTTCCTAATCTCTTCCGCCTCATCCTGACGGCGGCCCTCTGCACCGGCTTCTACTTCGTCGGCTTCTACCAGAACTTCCGCGGCACCGTCTCCCTCCCCGCTCCGCCGTCGCCGGCGGAATATCTGGTGGACCATATTCAAAATGCCACCTTCTGCGATTTCCCCACTCTGTTTCCGCCCCTTGACTTCCTCGCCCACCACTTCCTCCCGGAGGAAACTTTTCGTGTCTCGCCGCGGATGAAGAGAAATCATCGGCGACTCGGCGGCCCCTACGCGGCGGCGGAAGAGGAGGGCGGGAAGAAAAACCCATCGACGAGGGAGCAAATGGACTTCAGAAATTAGCATTTACAGAGCAACTCTGGCTCCGACGACAGATTTGCTGTAGAACTTTGTACTGCTGACTTTTGTTTTGGGAGAAAGTGTTGGACTTTAGTGTAACCCATGCGATCAAATACAGAATTAGAGAATGTTTTCCTCTCTTCTTCTTCTTCAGAATGGCCTGGAAGTGTTCTATCCTCTGGTTACTTGAAATGTTTCAGTAGGTCAGGTTATCGCTTTATGAGATGGATTCCTGAGAGTGAGTGAGTCAGTGAGTAAAAGAGTGTGCTTTGATTTGGGAGTAATCGAGCAATCAAAATAATAAAAAAATTTATAATGAATCTGCTTCAAGTGCTGTGACTTCTACTGGTACAAGGACAAAGAAACCTGCTGCATGTTTCTGTAACTTTTTCTTTCAGCTCTCAATTACAAGCAACAACAATACACACTCTCTTCTACCAATGTATGAACGCTGTGGACAGATGATAAAACTCAAAGAGATGAAACTCTTTTTGAAGGTGAGCGAACAACACCAGAATACAGATTTGACTCTGAGATCTACAGCACCCACAAGACTCTGGCTCGCGCGCGACTAGACACAAGCAAGCAGTTGATGGCCCAATTGTTCAAAGCCTCACAACTCATTGGTTGAGGCTGTGTTTGAGTATGGTTGGATCTGGAGGAGACACCGTTACGAGTACTGTTGGCCACATGAACAATGTACAGTAGTAGACTTTTGAATCTTCCGGTTAAGCACCTTTTAGTTGGAAACTAAGATTCAATCATATTAGAATATATGTTCCCATCTCTGCAATGCCGGTGCTTGTAGGACACTCCGATCAAGAACAGCATCCATTTCTGCGACCTTGTTGGGACGCTTGTCTCTCTGCTCGAATCGTCGGAGTCTTTGGTACTCCAGATCCCTTTTCCAACAGGGTAGGTACTTCAAATATCTGTAAAAGCAATAAGAGTTGGTCAAGGACAAGGAAAAGAAAGAAAAATGCTATTAATAGATGTATCTTATCATATTGGTTTCAAGAAAAAGCATGTTGGCTAATGGAAATGTAATCAGGATACAAACAAAGACAACAGAAAGAGAAAACAACTGCTAAGAAATTTTCTGTTGTTTACCTTTAATATAATCTCTCTGAATAGTTGCTCCACGCTTTCTCTAGATTTAGCAGTACATTCAATAAACGAACATTTAAGCCTTCGTGCTAGAGCCATCCCTTCTTCTCTGCTTACAGCGCGTTCACTGTCCTGAAGATAATCATACAGTCAATTAATTCAAGACAGCAACTTCTCTCACTATAACCCATATCTCCACATGTTCATACTAGCTCCAATACCTCTAATCTTGATGTCAGAACATTTAAGTGAGAATGGAAAAGTTACATGGCTCTTTGTCCATATAGTGGCTTGTGGGCATACATGGTGGATGGAGGAGATCTAAAGTTTAACTGCTGAACTTACCTTGTCAACTTTGTTTCCAACTAGAAGCTTGACACACTCATGATTGGTAGAATAAAGTTCCACATCTTTAGCCCATATCTCCGATAGGTTTGTGAATGTATCTCTCTTTGTGACGTCATAAACTAAGATGAAATCAAAGAACAAACTGCTCAGACATTGCGCTTACATTTTCCTCATCATATGACAAACAAAACATGAACCATCTTCCAATTAGTAAATGGCTTATTATGTCTTCACGGTACAATTAAGTTCCTGTGACTGATAGATTCATTTAAGTATAGATACACAATAGGCTAGTTATGAAAATATGTCAAGGAAAAGAGTTGTAAATCGCGTGATACGTTACGGCATCTAAGCATACATCTTTATAGTATTACATCCAAGCAACATAGTCCTTCATAAAAAGAGCAGACCTAGACTAAATACACATAAAATGGCAAACCAAATGCTTAACATCAATTCCCTAATTTCTATTGTGAGCTGTCTTTCAAGTATAGAAGTTCTCCGTTCATAAAAAAGAAACAAAAACATCCAAGTACTGTTAATTTGTCAAAGAACGTATATTTGGTAATGTGACACCTAAGAAGGTGGTTCTCCACTAAGGCAAAAGCTTACCAAGAATGATCCCATGTGCTCCTCTGTAATAAGATGTTGTTACCGTTCCAAACCTCTCCTGTCCAGCTACAATAACAACACAAAACCAAGTTCAAAAGGGTCCAGAGAAGATGCAATCAATTTTCATTAGAGACTGCGGGCAGGTTCGAACTCACAGCACCTAAATTTAAATGTCATGATTGAGCTGCAGCAAATTGTCACTAAATTGGAGTAATTTTCCCTCCACAGAGAAGGTCTGTGATACTTGTGGCTTCAGAATATCATAACCTTACCCCAGATCCAGAGAATAAAATCCAAAATGTAAACTAAGCAGCTGAACCAATATCACTACTGAGAAGTGCTTAAATAAAAGGGGGCAATTCCATGGTAGATTAATACACACAACAAATGGACGACATTCTCATGATAGCATTAACTACAGCATCAAGCTCGTAACGGGAGAACAATTAGTAGACAATGAACTAGAAAATATCGGATAACCTTTCCAAATAAAGACAGAAAGGAGAAGAACACCCACGATGGTCAGGATAATTCCTTCATTTAACGGTACACTCGCAGTTGTGAGTAAAGTGTGCACAGGTAGTAGAAACACCAATTACCTGTATCCCACATCGTAAGCTTCAATCTTTTATCATTGGCTATGACGGTCTTGATTTTGAAGTCCACACCTGCATTCGTCGAACCAGAATATGATGTATAGGTATGCCAGCAAACTAAATGCCATACAATAGGTACACAGATGCATATCAGCACCAATTTTTGCTTAAAAAATCCGTAGTAACTGACAGGGACTCCTGCTCTTCCACAGATGGAAGTCTCAAAGAAACAGATTAGCAAATCATCAAACAAAATATATGTCAATCCACCCAATAACTCCTTTAACCCCAAATGAGAAACTTTCAGGAATTCCAAATCTTGCACCATGTCACTTTCGGTGCAAATCAGGCAGAACCGACAACCAAAACCCAATACATGCAATGCAAGCATGCAGAGATGATGACTTTACTACCGTGAGGCCGCTAAGCTCCCTCATATCTACCATCTACTACTGAAAGAAAATTTCACTGGAGCACTTCATCAAACCAGGTGCAGCCAGGCATAATTTGATTCCAGAAAGAAAACAGGGACCGATGAGATCAGGGTAGCACGAATTGTTCCTCGTTCGTTTTCCCAAAAATCAACCAGAGGTTCCATTTCAGACTATTAAGAACGATTCATAATTCATGCTGACAAGCACAAAAAGTTGCCAATTTTACCACCCGGATTCCCGAGCCACGGGAAAAATTGGGCGCAAAAATGGAGAGAGTAATCAGAAACCCATGTGACGGCAGACAAATCCAGGGAAGAAGGGAGTGATAGATACCAATAGTGGGCGAGGGATCGTGATCGGCGTCGGAAATGAATTTGAGGAGAATACTGCTCTTGCCGACGGCGGAATCGCCGATCATGAGAATCTTGAAGGAGTAATCGTGGGCAGGGGAGCCTCTGGAAGCGGAAGGAGTGGAAGGAGGAGAAGCAGAAGAGAAATTAAAAGAAGAGGCGGCAGCTGCTGCCATATCTTTCTCTCTTCTCCCTCCGCAAGAACGAAGAACCCTTTTGTGTGTTCCTTCCTTCCTTGTGAATGATGGTACGGACCGTACAAAGAAGGAAACTTTGCCGGAATTTGAAGCGATTGAAGAAGAGAAAGACGATTAGAGAAAGAGAGAAGGCGCCGATCGAATCAGGAAAAAAAATATTGTTGTTGGGTGATATTGGGATTATGGGGAGAGAGTGGCGTTGGCGCCTTGGCGAGTAGTGTTCTTCCCTTTCTGCTGCTGCTGACAGGTGTTTCGGGGAAAAAAAAAACAATATAGGACATAAAAAAATAAAATAAACGAAAAACAGGCAAAAACAAAAAGATTAAAACTTTTGATTCTCAAACAGCAAAAATATCAAAATTGAGGGTTGCCCATGGCGGCAAGTCGGCGGAAGAAGGTCCCGTTTCACTCGAAAACCTGTTGTGCTCTTCCTCCGCTGAAAACTCAACGGGCCTTCGCGCCCTCCATTAATGGATATCTCGGAGGAATGGAAGTCCTTCTTTAACCCTGCTCTTTCTCCTCCTAATATCAATCCTCCTTCCCGCCTCTCGTTCGCTCAATTCCTCGCCACCTCAGCTTCCGCCCACCACGATTCTTACGTTCCTCTCTCCACCGTCTCCTGCATCTCAAGCTTCCTGGCTTGATCGGAATCGAATTCAGTTCCTTAGGTCTCCTCGGGGGAATTCCGTCATGGTCTTCTTCCCCACCGGCTCCAATTTCGACCAAATTGGGTTTTTGGTGTTGGAAGCGAAAGAGGGTAGCTTGAATGCATTTGGGAATGCCACTGGCGGCGTTTACAGCGCCAATAAGCAATTGAGTCAGCGGATTAGAGGGGTTTTGGTGAACCCAGTTGCAGGTTCAGGCTGGCTTGGAGGTGAGTCTTCTGCTGATGATTCTGATGCTATTATTGGGTATTTGTTGGCTTATTGTATTTATTCAGTGCATTGGTTCTGCATTAGAATTGGTGGAGGTGGTAAAAAACCTGCGGTGGTGTATATGACTATATGGGTTCCAGAACGTTTCAAAGCTCTGCCGTTATGACCCGCATTTGCCTGAAGAGAGTGTGGTTCTGCTGGAGAACAGTTCATTGTTTTTGTTTGAAAGTGTCATGGGATGATGAATCTCCTAATTCTGGGAACTGCAAGTGGTTGGGTTGTAAGCTCAGTTGGCATCCTAGAGTTTTGATTGTTGCACGTTCTGATGCTGCTTTCTTGGTTGATTGGAGGTCAGATCAGCATAAGGTGACTTGTTTAGCTAAAGTTGATATGTTTGGCCCTTATGCTCCTTCTGTAATGACTCGTTTTCAGAGCTTTCTCCAACGCCATTTCCAGTCATTTTCACTTCATTCTGGTATCTGGTAGTCTGTGACTGTTAGTTCTCTGTGACGTTCGTTGAGCATTTACACCGGTTTTGCAATGGGCACATAGTCTTGACAAGCCATGTTATGTTGATACCTTTAGAATGTCCAACTTAAGGTCAAACCCCAAGGGTAGTAATACACATAAGTGGGCAACTGAATCTGGTTTTGGCATTCTACTTGGATCGTTCTTCAGTTCTGAGTTTAGTCTCTTTCCCTATGGACCCCTCTGCCTGCTCCTTATAAGTCGATTGCAACGAAAATCTCTGAAGTTTCCAAATCCTTTTTATGCATGGGAGCTCCCGTCTGGTCTCAATCTGCCTAATGCCAATTGCCTCGGTGGGAGCTGTCTTGTGAAAGCAGAGTTTTCAGAAGATGCTCTTCCTGAATGGCTCGACTGGAAGCAGAAGAGAGATATTGTTCTAGGGTTTGGCATTCTTGGTGAAGACCTGTGCTCGTTGCTGCACGAGCCTGATGAATTTGGTGGATTTAATCTGATTAGGTTGATCTCCTCTGGGAAGCTTGAGTTACAGCGATACACTACGTTATGGGATTTGGTCAGAACAACAAACCATCACATTGACCCAGTGCTGAGTCATGCTAATAACTCACACTCGTCTTTGGAGTATGAGAGGTACAAATTTCCTGGAAGGTTTAAATATTTGGAATTGGATTATCTCTCTGCGTACTTGAACGGTGATCTCTCTAAGATCTTAGATCTAAACACGAGGAATGCTTCCAAGGTGGGTCCTTCGAATGCGGAATCTTTTAGCTTGGACTGTCATGAAGCATTGTGTGAGAAGTTGAAGATTAGTGGGCTGAATCGGTTTAGAGCATCTCCAATTGTCAGCCTTGTTCTTATGGATGTGAACATGCCAACAAGCATACGTGAAGTTGCTTTGAGGAAAACATGGGCAGGCTTGCCGATGGAACTCCTACAGCTCAGCTTTTCTAGCTACTCTGAACTTCTTGATGTGCTATTAGACCAGAAAAAGCTTTCAGTGGAGTTTTTACCAGTCCCTGATCTCCCCCAGTTGCCTCCATAGGAAGCCCTCACATCGTAGCAACAAATGGTCGCAAAAAGAGTCGCTTAATGAGGACACCCTCGTGGGTCCAATTCTTCCTCTGCCAGTTCTGATCACAGTCCACGAACTGAAAAATGGTGGCTGCCCAAACAAGCACCCAGGAGGAAGCTGTCTGCGGACCTCAATATCCAATGTGATGAAGTAATGTGAATGGCGAAGGAAGTTGCTGCAATAGATTCCGCCACCATGTTTGGTGTTGAGATGAGAATGCTGTATCCCTTGCCACAATGATGATATCTGGGTTAATTCTCAGCAGCCAAAATCTTTCATGCTATATCGTCCAGCAGCAGCAGTAGTTCGTGGGACTAGTTATCACGACAGCGGTTATCCTAGGGATCACAGATTTAGTACCTCGATTAGAAAACTGCACAGTAAAGAAGCCGGTGATGCTGACAATCAAGATCCTGACAGACATACCTTTGAAGATCTCTGTCCCATTGGCTTGAAATTCGTCAAGCATCTTGGCAACTTCGGCGAGGAGGAAGCTAGGGCCTACAAAGTATTGAAGAGAAAGTTGTTAACATGGCAGGAACATTTCAAACCAATTCGAGACTTTCGTAATAGGCACTAGATCGTCACACTAGCACTTCCTTTTTTCCCTGACTACAGGATATCTTGCAGCTTTTCGTATTGCAGCTAGAAATCCTAAAGCAGAGTGAAAGGAAGCCCGGTTTTGGATATATATATATAATGAGAAATATTTTCTTCAGACTTGCTCTTTTTTCTATAGTTACGCTAGACAGGAGCCAAATACAAGACAACTTTCTTGCTTGACAATCTGTTACAGCAGTCAGCAGGAACTGGGAAACTGTGGTGTTTGGGCCTGACGTGCAGCGAAAGGTAGCTGATGCTGTCTCTTTCTTCCCGTTACCTTGCTGCATAAGCCAATGAATTGTCATTAAAGTGTACTTCCTTGCTGGGGAGATAAAAGTTGGGACTTGGGAGGCTTTCCGTGCATCTTCGGGAAGGAAGGTTGTTAAATCGGTTTAAGTCATTGAGTCGGTCAAGTAAGGGGTTTGAGATTTAATGGTCTGATTGGGATCTGGCCGGTTTGAGTCGTTTTAGACGTTTTCTAAATATATATATATATATGGTGGCTACTTCGGTGCACTCACTTTTTTGGGTGCACTCAGTACACCCAACTCTAAAAGCGTCCATAATACATCAAATTTTGAACTTTAATTAGTACTCTCAATATAATATGATGATATGACATAGAATCATAACAAATCAATCCATTACCCTAACCTCTTAACCTTCAATTTTGAATTTTAACCCAAAATCCCAAATTGTAAACCTAAACCCTAACCCTAAATCCCTAAATCCTAAATCCTTCGAATTAAAGTAAATTTTGAATGATTTTTTTTCAAATTCATGTGCTTCTTGTTCATAATATCATAAGCAACAATTGATACCGTTTTGACATGAATCGCATGGTCAGAATGACAATTATGAGGCGGGTGCACTGAGTGCACCCGAAAAAGTGGGTGCACCGAATACGGCACCATATATATATATATATATATATATATATATATATATATATATATATACATATATGGTGCCTTCTACGGTACCCCGGGTGAAATCCGGGGTACCGCATACCTTGAGTATGGAAACGGTATCTAGACCTCGAATTAGCAGGATTTTTGGGTATGATACTATACCTTAACCCTTAATGAGTGAACCCTAGGTCCTAATTATCTAAATTATAATCTATAAACCCTAAGATGGTGCATTCCTTTTTGTGTCTATATTTGGACGAATCATAACCGTCCATTATTGTTTCTAATTAAATTGATCTCGGAGTACAAGATTGGGAGAATTAAGACCTAGATTTTGATCTTTAAGGGTTAGATTATAGTATCATGTCCGAAAGATCGGTCAATTCGAGGTCTAGATAGTGTTTTCATACTCAAGGTATTCGATACCCCGAATTTTACCCAGGGTACCGTAGAACTCGCCATATATATATATATATATATGTATATATATATATATAAGTTAGTAATTAAAGATTTAATGACTGAAATAAAATTTATCTTACATGTATTTATTAAAAACCTATTTTCACAAAATAAATATATCTAACCTCCATGATCCACCCATCATCTCCCTTCTTTCGTTCCTCTTCCTCTCTTCTTCTTTCTCTTTAGAGGCCAGACCAGGGGACTTTCTGTAGGCCGTTTGAAGTCCGACTTAGGCCGGAACGGGTCAACCGGGGGCCTAATAATGGTTTAACAACCTTGTCGGGAACCTAATGAACAAGTTTGAAGAATAGATACCAGGAAACGGAACCATATCTGGTTGAGTACTTCCAACTCATACCCATCCCAATGTAGCCATAGTTCAAGGCGTGCTGCTAGACAACGCCAAATAGGCTTTTGTGAGCTATTGAGCAAGTATGCTATGGACGTTAGGCGCGCGTTTAAAATGCGGCAACGATATAAAAATTGGGAAACTAATATAATCTACAAATACAATTTATAGGTCAAGAATTTTATGAGCTAATGAGCGAGGATTCTATGAACTTATGAGTTATTTTTCTTATTGATAAGTGTTATGTAATTCATTAATTCTTTGAACCAAAGTAAAAGTGCTTTAAAACATCGATTTCATTCATCATTTTGTACTATCTTTGAACTCTCATGGTTTTCTATATTGCCGTTAAACTTTGACTCGAGCTGCTAACATGAGGCTTATAAGTCGAGACAAGTCGATAGCATCAATTTGGATTGCTATCGACTTATCTTCGCGGAGTCAATGACTATAAAGATTCCACACAAGTGACAATGGAGCTTTCCAAATTGATCCATTTATGTTTCAATTAAACAATCCTAGTTAAATCGAGACGGGTATTTCGATTCACATATAGACATACTATCTTCATGATAAGTCGGGTTTAGATCAAGTATTTTTATCTCCGATAGAGGTTGGTAGACATATTGAATCAAGTATTTTGGCAATATGTATAAAATAGAAAGCGGGTAATAAAAATCCCCGTGAATAGAAGAGTGGGGAAAACGACAAGTCTCAAATTAATAAACAAAATAAAAATCAGGGGGAGGAATAAGGTCAAAGGAAAAAAAGGAGAAAACAGGAAACTAAAATGTTATCGTCTCTATCGTTAATTACTGTAACGCTCAAAAAAAAATACTTGCCTTTCCTTTCCCATTGTATTTTTTTTCAGGCTTCGGCCCTTTTAAAAGAACGAACCAACCAAAATTGCTTGCAATTGAAGGTACCTTTCCTTTCTATTCAATCTAATTATCCGCCTCCTCTCCATTTCCCCTCCCCCACGCCTCCACCAAACCCTAATCCCCTCCGCCCCCTCGCTTCCCTCTCTATCATCATGCCTCGAGAAGCGTGTACCGCTCTGGCGTTGGTTCCGCCCACACCGCCTGCGCCACAACCGGCGGCAGCGGCGGCGGCTGCTGTACCCGGTGGTGGTGCGCCAAGTACGACTGCGCTGGCCCCTGGTTTCCGATTCCACCCGACGGATGAGGAGCTCGTCAGCTATTACTTGAAGCGTAAGGTTGGGAACAAGCCCGTTCGCTTCAACGCCATCGCTGAAGTCGATATCTACAAAAATGAGCCGTGGGAACTTGCCGGTACGATTCTTCGGGGTTTGGGCTTTGTCTCCGTTATCTCTGTGACTGAAATCTTTCTGGGTTTTTCTTCTGTTGTCTAAAGTGTTCGTCTTTTTTGTCTGGGTTTCTTAGATTTTGTGTGTTTTAGATTAGGTTGTAAGTTCTTCACTTCAAAGCTTGTACTTACTGTTTTCCCGATTCGCAAGTTCTAATGTCTCGTACATTGCCAAAATCTAGTACGTTTTGTTAAATTAGTTTCATTTCTTACCCTTGTAAGTACGGTAGAGTTGTGTTTCCCCCCAGGCCTTCAATAGTTTGATTTGGGGATGTTTTCCCCAATTTTGCATGTTGGTATGAGGGCATTGCTTGATTTTTGTTGTCTTATCTCACTGGGTTTTATCTTCCCTTGAGTTTCAGATAAGTCAAGATTGAAAAGCAGAGACCAAGAGTGGTACTTCTTTAGTGCATTGGACAAGAAATATGGCAACGGAGCAAGGATGAACAGAGCTACCGGCAGAGGTTACTGGAAAGCAACCGGGAAAGACCGGGAAATTCGTCGAGACCACCAACTCATAGCGATGAAGAAGACTCTTGTGTTCCATAGTGGACGAGCCCCTGGTGGCCAGCGCACCAATTGGGTTATGCATGAGTACCGTTTAGTCGAGGAGGAGTTGGAGAGGATTGGGATTTTGCAGGTGAGAAATGCTTTCTATGTAGAGAATGCTGGTTCTGTTGGGAACAAGCAGTTGCCATGATTGAAGATGTTTACAGCATATTGAAGTGGTGGTCAAGTTAACTGCATGGAGGACCTTATACTTGCAACTTGCAAGTCCATTCCTTTTTGTAGGATCTAGAAGTTTGATTGTGGTTTATCTGGATTGTCTGGTCAGAGTTTCAATGTCCATAATCGCACAAATGATGCTTGTTAATACCTTTCTCTTTGTTTTGTTTCGATGAAGGGAGATTCATATGTTCTGTGTAGAGTGTTTCACAAGAATAACATAGGACCACCAAGCGGAAACCGCTATGCTCCTTTCATGGAGGAAGAGTGGGATGATGGCAAGCCTGCCCTTGTCCCGGGAGAAGAAGCAGCGGATGAAGTTGTTGCTTGCAATGGAGCTTATGCTGAGATGAATCATGTCGAGCAGGTGAAACTTCAGCTTTATGACATGTTTATAATATCTATCTTTCATGCAGGCATATTTTTCAGAGAGTAAGTAGTACCTTTAATTGACAGAGCATGAAATGGATCTAGATTTTTTTTCTGGGTTGAGAAGTTGTCTTCGGCAGAATTTAATGTTTACAAGATCAACCATAAGCTGTGGACTTGGACTCTTTGAAAGGAATCCACTGAATGTGTTTTGCTCTCTCGTATCTTTTTATGACGAGGGAACCTCAACCGATGCATGTTTTGTGCTTTCTCGTGTTTATTGAAACTAAATTGTACCTTTTTGTTATGTGGCCAAACCGACATGTCCTCTTGTGGTACTGGGTTTTAGGGCCCTCACTTTTAGGTGTGTATACTGCACAAGCATGTATGTTCGCCTTTCCTGTCTGTGATGAAAGGACAATTGAGCTCACTTTTGGGTAGTCAAATGATCCTGTGTAGTAATAGTAATACTACAACAAGGTAGAATGACTCTGGGGTGAGAGGTAATGATCTTTCAGGGTTAAAACTATCATTGGAATTTGGAAACAATACATTTACGGTCAAGAAAAGGTGTCTCTAGGCATTTGCAAGATGGTTATTTGGTAGGACGTCCGGTAAAATAACAAATGGAGGGGTGGAAGTTTGGTAGCAAGAAGACATTGTTGGTGTCAGGGAGCATTTATTAGAACTTACATCATATTTCTGTAGATGGTAGGCATCTTGTTCTTCCCCAAGGTTTCCAGTGACTGAAATAAATAGCCAACTAGAGAAAACCTCCAAACTTTAAAATCCAAAGATGCGTGATAACTCCTTAACTTCTGTTTTCCGATATTTCTTCTGTAGTGATTCCTCGAAAAATGCGACATCTCACCTGTATAAATTAACTAGATGTGCCTGCGGTGCTAGCAACGATATTTTTAATTCATCAATAAGTTCCATTTTCATCATTTTGTTGAACTATATTTGACTGGTTGAAGAGTGTGCAGACACGTTAAAGAGTCCTGCACTAGAGCCGTATCACAATGTAGCTTGCCAGACTCAATTTCCTAAATCTAAAGAATCTAGGTAGTAACTAATAGGCAAGTTGTTGTTTGAGGAGTTTATGACTGGTAGATGGTGGCAGTGAGAGTATAATCGCAAATGTCTTGTTGGAGTTTGCTTATGTCAATCTGGTTTTATTCACTGTCTCTGACTGCTGTTGTTACCTGTTCTAAGTCCATGCAAAGTAACCTCCAAGTTTGTACTGCAGAATGAAGTTCTGGGATGACCATTTCTATTATATTCTTGATGGGTGCTTACATAAGTCATCCAAATTCTTAGTGCATGCATCCATGAATGAGAATTTAATGGCCCCATTTGAATCAGTTCGATCTCTTCTGTAACGGATGAGACGCCTAAATCTGGCGAAAGGATCTGCCCCTAGTTTTGCCAGTTGGTAGTGAAGGCTACCTTCTCGGGAAGATTGTTTTAAAACATTTAAGCCGGAATTTGTTACAAACAGATTCGTGTTGCTTCAGATGAGAACCTTCTTCTACTTGTTTCAGTCATAGTTGTGAAATTGTTTTCTTAAGGCTACAGCTCAGTTATGTCATGAAAAAACAGGTTTATTTAGAGATTTTGACTTGCTTTTATTTGGTTGCAGGATAAGTATAACCTGAGCAAAGAATCCTTCGATTTCAATGAAGTACCAAAGCGGACCCGAGACCTTCTGTCCCTGTGCAAGAATGAAAGTGTGGAGATGGAGGAAGAAACTCCCATGTGCGTCCTCAACACAGAAGCTCCTTTCCCACTGATCCAATACAAAAGAAGGAAGCACAACGACTATGACTCTAATGGTTCAGAGAAGTCGACCAGAACAACCCAGGACCATTCCTCATCTAGCACCACAACTGCTACTACTACTGCTACTACTGATACGATGATGACGACAACTGCTGCAACTACTACAGCCATATCTGCACTGCTAGAGTTCTCCCTTATGGAGCCCAAAGAACGCACCCCTCCACCTTCTCCCCCAAAGGAATCCACATTCACTGCTTCTAGCCTCGAGTCGCTGGTCCCTTCTGGTTGCATGAAGTTCATCAACGACCTGCAGCGTGAGGTGCACAAAGTCTCAGTTGAGAGGGAGACACTGAAGCTGGATTTGATGAGCACTCAAGCTATGATCAACATTCTCCAGTCGAGGATTGATGTTCTCAACAAGGAGAATGATGATCTGAAGAGGAGCCTTCGTGAGGGAAAGTGAGCGAGTCCTTTCTAATTTAAAGTAGCTGTCTCTTGGCACGAGTCGCCTATGAGCTGTCTTGCCTCAATGGGCGGGCAGTGAGTCCCTTTGTGTTTTATTTAGCAGTATGTTCGCTTGAGTCACCTATCCCGCCCTTCCTGAAGGGCAGTAGGCCCTGTGGGGGGAGTTGGACGGACATGTTAGCTTGTAACATCTAGTGTGTCAGTAGCCTGTTGCTTTTCCCGGCTCGGTTCAATAATTTTGTCGGTAGAAGAGACGTTTGAAATGCTGGATTGGGACAATCGTAGGCTCGGGAAAAGCTGAGAACTTTGTTTCTGCGTTCTGCCTATGAGGCTGGTCTGTCTGTAACTTGGAGCAATATGTTCGTTATATTATGAGTTGTATGCCTTGTCTGTCAAGCTTACTATGGACAGCAGGTTCTCGCCGACAAATTTGTGCCATGGTGATCTTATTTGGAAGATAAATCTATCTCATTCGTGTAAACCATACATCAGCGTTCTTTTTACCATCATAACAAGTGCAACAGCAGCAGCAACTAAGTGCGAGTTTTATGTTTCTCTCTCGTTCGTTTGCTTTCATAACTCATGCGGTCTGCTGTGCTGGATGCTTAGCCAGATCAAGGCGAAGGATGCGGTTATCTACAAGGGAGCCGCAATACAAGTGGGTTCCAATCTTGACACCACTGGTGATCATGGAGAGTTGAGGATCACTGTAAAGTGCAACAGGTTTCCCCTCCAAATCCACCACGAAAACCCCACTGTTCTCCAATTGCAGTGGCCATAGGTGCTTTGTCAGGATTGCAATAATCTTCCTGAGAATGGGTTGTTTGAATGCATAATCCCAAAGGGTACTGATTCCCTGTCATCAGTTCATCACCGAAGCTCGAATCCATCATAACCAGATAGTAATCAACAGACAAGAATCTCAAATCTAGCAGTGCTATTTACCCCGGGAAGCGCAATCCAATAGTGGCCTTCACCATCATAGTGGATGTTATCTGGAACTCCAGGTAGATTATCAGCAAATTTCTCCACCTTGCCCTTCTTCTCCCCATCTATGTAATATTTGCTACACCTTTTCCTGTCATTTTGCCCCATAGAACAAGACACAGAACAGGGAGAGTTGTGTTACAGTTGCAGAAGGTTGGTTGGCAAACAGAAACCCTGGAATCAAACAAGACAGCAAGGGATTTTGATTACATGGATGATTCGCAGAAGACGAGGGACTGTTGATCAGGGGACACCTGGACTCCATTAGCAAAGTAGAGGTCATGGAGCAGAGCTTCCGTCTGTTTAGTTACAGGATCGTATCGCAGCAACCTGCCATGCGGCTTCCCTTCCAAAATGTCAAAGATGGCTTCTGCCACACTGTATACATAAGAAGCATCCGTGAAATACATTGCCCCGTCTTCTGCTATTGCTATCTCGTCCGTCATCTTGAATTTCACCCCTTCTGCCTCCACCGTCAGGACTTCTATTTCTCCATTATAGCTCACTCTCAGCAATCCCTGTGCGCAATGCAGTCAAAATCGTGATTCTATGTAAAAGCGTTTTGGTGACCTAGAAATCTGAAAAATGTAAGCTTTCTTTAAAAGATAAAAGGTGGGTACGCTTTATTACCCTCAACCTTTTGCTACTGTTTCACTTTTCGTCGTTTTGCGGAAAGGGGGTTTTTCGTTCTCCGCAGGGCAGCTGGTCGCGGCAGCCGGGAACGCTCCACTTGCTGGGTGAGAAGCAAGTTCCACCGTTTGCGAGTTAATCAGCAGCCACGCCTTCCGTACGACCGTACGCATACTCCAGTTTGCCCTTACCGCAAAACCTGCAAGGAGTAGCGTTCTTTTTCTCCTTTCGTCACTTCACCATGCTGCTTTCCCGGAATCGCTCGCGCAGGCTACATCCCATGCCGTCTGTGTATAGCTACTTGGACAAGGCACTAGCCTTGCATTGTTAGTTTGTTACTGACCACTCAACAACTCCACTGTGCACTGGGACAAGCCAACCTTTCGACCTCATTCTCGCCTGTCTCCTCTTATTGGAATTGGAATTAGGATTCTCTCTGTTCCATTATTCACTCCTGACTCCCCAGTTCTTCCACTGGCTCTCTTTTGCTTTCCTCTCCTCTCCCTCCAAAATCTCCTTCTTCTCTCTGCAACCCAAACCCTAAAGTTTTCTCTTGCTGTTGGCCGCCATGGAACTCAAACGCGGAGGAATATGGGTTCGATTTGTAATAGGAGGAGCACGGTGAGAGAATGAAGGCGACAAGAAGGAAGGAGATCCGAGATCACGAAGTACTTCATGCCCCCTGGAAGTCTTGCCCCTCCTCATTCCCATCTCTTTGTTTTGTTGGTGGAAGAGAAGCAGCAGGAGTACTGAAAAAGAAACGCTCATAAACTTTGGATTGATTTTGTCGGGACTTTCACTTCTCGACCATGGCCACAGAGTTATAGGTAACGTTTTACTTCGTACGATTAATGATAAAATCTTATATTGGAGGAAAGGCTCTGTGTTGTCTCAACGTGATTTCTATCTGGTATAAGAATCCTAGAAATTGTAACGTTTCTCAGAATATGTTTTTGGTTCAAAGGCTGCAAACTCTGGCATCTCATATAATCAATCAATCCCTTTGTACAAGTTTCTGTTCCAGTTTTGGTTTCCGAGTTACTGCACCGCCTTCCATGGAGCCATTGGTTCGTGATGGAGAAGTTGGCCCTTCAACAAAGACCAGCAAGAATTCGGTTCCCAGAGTTCCCAACAGCCCTCCTTTGAGCTCCTGCTCAACGACTCGGCCTCAGCCTCACAGATGCCTTGGTACTCTAATGATCCGATGGATTGATTTTTTACAATATTTGTTACTTCGTCTTATGGTGTTTTGCTTTGGTGCGAGCTGAAGTGAATTTTTAAGATGTAGGTAAACTGGAAGGCATTGGTGCAAGGAAGATGTTGTTCGTAGAAACTATCAATAGGGCCCATCAGGATCTGTTTTGATTCATATTGTGACTAACTGAGAAGGGGAAAGGGTTTCCTCCTGCTAAGGCTGCTGCTTATAAAATGCATTGTGAGTCCATTTGTGTGATGTGACTCAATTTCGTATAGCACACTTTCATATATATATTTCAAGTATATGGTGAATTTTCATGATATTTTCATAGTATGCTTCAGATTGTTATGCTTGGAAGACCTTATTAGCAAGACCCTCAAATATCTCTTCTGAACTGTTTTTCTTTCAGGAGTGGTGAAGTTTGATGTGGAAACGGGGCAGTTTTTCAAGCTGAAATCCTCTACCCTTCCATACACACGATACTTTGCTGAATCATTAGTCAAAGAAGCTGAGGCGGACAATAAGATAGTAACTATGCATGCTGAAGTGGGTGTTGGGACTGGTCTCAACTATTTCCAAAAAAAGTTCCCAATCGATGCTTTGATGTGGGGATCGCAGAGCAACATGCTGTCACCTTTGTAGCTGCGTTACCTGCTGAAGCTCTCAAGCCATTCTGTGCCATCTACTAATCTTTCCTCCAAAGTGGATATGATCAAGTAAAAATGAAAAATCTTGAACAACTAGGATTTCACTACTTACATAATACTGCTCATGTTGTAACAAAGTGGTCCATTTGAAAAATGTAGTTAGTACATGATGTGGATCTTCAGAAGCTACTGGTCTGGTTTGCTATGGAACGAGCTGGTTTGGTTGAGGTGGATGGACCAACCCACTGTGGAGCATTCAACATTGCCTATATGGCCTGTTTGCCAAACATGGTGGTTGTAGCATCATCGGACGAAGCTGAGCTGATGCAACGGCTGCAACCATTGGCGATAGGGTAAGCTGCTTCTGGTTTCCAAGGGGGAATGGAATTGCAGTTCTCCTACTCAACAACTAAGGAACTCCACTCGAGGATGGTGGAAGGGTAGCGATAGAAGGAACTAGAATTGCTATACTGGGTTACGGAGCTATAGTGCAACAATGTGTTGAAGCTGAAGGGATGCTAAAGCGCATAGATATTCATGTAACGGTAGCTGACGTCGAGGTTCTGCAAGCCTTTGGGCACTGACCTTATGAGGGAGTTGGTGCGAGAGCATGAGATTCTGAGTACTGTGGAAGAAGGTTCGATTGATGGGTCTGGGTATCATGCGTCTTATTTCCTGAGCTTGAGAGGTATTCTAGATGGACCCCTTAAGGTGATTAGCTAACATTTTCACTGATCCTATTTCATTCTTAGTTTTTCTTTTTGTTTTGTTTTTTACTATGGTTTTGTATAAGGCAGTTGACAGCAAGGTGATTACAGATAAGTACATTGAGCATGGATCACCTCCAGATCGGATTCAAGAAGCGGGGCTGTCATCGAAGCAAATCACTACGATGGTGCGCTCTCTATTGGGAAAAGCCTAAAGAAGCTCTCAATTTCAAGTGAAATGCAAAAGTGGAATGATTGAATCAATGGGAGGTAGTATGACTCTTTACTCTATCGCGTTATAGACTGAAGAGTAGAACCAGTTTTAGCAATGCCATGGTATTAAGGAATTTGATTCGACCAATAAGAATGATTTATTTGGGAAGACACGTATCTAATGCTCATGGCTTGAGTTCTCCGAAATTGCTTCTCCTGAAATTGCTCATACCTTACTTCACAAGAAAAGTGGTTCTCCCAAGTTCCAATGATTCAAGATGATGAGAATTCAAATCTCAGAACAAGAAAGTAGGAACAAAGCATTTCCTCGGATTGAATCGATCCTGTCAAGGATCAAAGTATCTCTCTACATATACAGTTATACAAAGAGATATCGTTGTGAATATACAGTTATACAATATCTCTCTACTACGAATCTTTGGTGTTTTGAGAATGGTTTTGCATCATTACTTCATTTACGGCGCTCCAAAAATTCAGCTGGCATGAGTAAACGAAGTGGCAGCTGAAGCGGTTAATTAGTAGACAAGCTACGGGATGCAATCATTGTGCAAGTAGATGGAGGCTTGAGCTAAGCTGTGTGCAGCATTAGCTCCAACATGTATCTCAGATTTCACAATCCTCATGCTTTTCCCAGGAACTGATCAATTACTCCAATTTTAGCACCTGAATTCTGATTCCCCAGAAATCCCATACATTCAACCGTTAATATTCGACAGATACAAAGACTGCAGTCTAAAAGAAATTCAGGAACCCCAAGTAAATAGGCATTTTGTTCAGCAATGATACAAACCATATTTATTATTAGGATAATTATTTGTTTTAGGATGCTAACCAACCTTCTAAGTTCTAATACTCTGAAACCCAAACCACTGCAAGAATATAACAAACTTTGCCATAAACTGAAATGCCCGCCATATTATGCTATAGCACATTTAGTTCTCGCGGCGTAGGCGCGGGTATTGGTTCTAGTTTAACCTTTAAAGAGTAGATCTTCACTACTTGAAATGCGTGATTCTACTTGAAAGCGTTTTGATAACCAAATTGTGTACAAACTTAAACTTTTAAGTTTGAAAACGTGATTCTGACTGTATTGCATGTGCTCATAAACATTTGAAGGTTATTAAATTCTTTTGAACATTTTTCTCTCAGCAATCACGAACCACTTATAATAAAAAAAATGTATGAACGGAAATTAAAATCAGAAAATGAAATTAGGACAAAATCCAAAATGTATCCAAATCCATTACCAAATCCATCAAGCTAATACCAACATTTTTTCAGAACCTTTATTATTGTTGGGTCCATAACTCAGTATTAGAGGTGTTTAACTGATTGGATCAAACATACATTTTTTTGGTTCCATGAATTTTATAATTATTAATGAAAATGAATCGAACTAACATTTGGACCGCAAACCAAACTAAATCGAATACAATGTTGGTTTCACTATTGGACCGACAGTTCTCGCACAACCCTACCTAGAACCCACGGGTACCCTACCCGACCCAACCCGATCAATGCGGGTAAAACTCGTGTTGACCGGTTTTGTGCCGGGTTTGGATTTAAACCCGTTCACTATTCGTTGGGTTGGATTTGGGTTTAGATATACCCGCCCCATGGGTACCCGCCCACACTCATATAATTAATTTTTCCTGTATATTTAATATTCTAAGCAGCTAATCTTTTTTTATGTTTGTGGAGACATGTCTAATTTTTTCTTTCTTATTGTATAGAATGAAGTTGATATTATCGAGAGGAGAGTAAAGAAACTTAATTGACAAGGGGGAAGAAGCTTTCAATTTATCATGTTGTTTATGGATAATTTGTGATTTGCTTCAATTTTCTTGAGTAATCAAGATTAGTGTTGAATAATTTGTATGGTTAATTTGTGATTTGCTTGAATTTTCTAGAATTATGTTTTATATATGGATAACTTGTATTGGGAGATTGATATTTGACTTTTATTTTGATAGAAACTTGTTATTGTAAATTTTTTACGAGAAAACCCCATGGGTACCCATAACCTGCGGATACCTAGCGGGTTGGGTTGAGTTTGAGCTTACCAAACCCAATGAGTTTTACCTCGAGTTTATTTCACGAATAAATCCACAGGTTTGAGTTTGGGTTTGGCAAAACCCGAGCCAACCCGATCCCGGCCGGCCAAAACCTAACCTTGTAAGCGTCAGCTACAACCAACCCATCGTTGGTCCGGTCGAATGCAAGCCCGAGCGGCCGGCCGCCGGTGTTGACCCAGCTCGACACCGCCATATCGGCAACCGACTCGTTCACCGTGACTCGCTTGATCCACCCGTCAACGCAGCTGGTGTAGAAGACGCCCGCGACGGCGTCGTAGAGGATGTCCTCTGGTGCGTCGAGCTGACCCTGGCCCACCAGCTCGGAGCTTCTGAGGATGGCATTGTTGGTTAAGGGAGCTTTGAGTGGAGGCTGGGTCAACTCGTGGAGCGGGAGGTGGACCGGGTCGAACGAGTCCAGGTGGTAGACCAGCAGAGTGGCCACTAAAACAGGGGATACGAAGAACAGGAAGAAGGGCATTGTCTGTGAAGGCATCTCTGTGGCGAATTAGCGGGAATGTCGGAGAAAGGGATGATGCAGAAGTTGAATGAATCGGGTATTTATAACAGCAAGAGGAGCGATCGGATTTCGGTGCTCTGCTAAAGAATGGTGAAAATCCATGACAGCGAAATGCAGAGGAACGACAGTAAGAAATTTCTGTGTTGGAGATGATTGTCTTAGGTATTAGGTTTGCAGGAGTTTTGATAGCTCAGCTTTTTGAATAAAATACAGGCAAAGCCAAGTCAAGCATTTCTTCTGGATTCTACTGCTGGGTGTTGTGGCAGGGGAATATTGTTCTTTCTCTTAGCAAGATCCCAATCCCTGGGTCCGGCGGCTGAAAAGCTCTCTGTTTTTTAATTGAAGATTTTCAGGCGGCTGCTGAGTGGTGTCTTAAAATCAATGAACGGAAGTAAATTGTCTACTGAGTATGTTTTATATATTGCTTAAAAAGTTCATTTGATGTTTACATATTTGACCGCGGATCAAAAGGTTCCAAGGATCATCTATCATCCCAAGTTTCTGCCTGCACCTTGAATGGAGTTATGGGATGGTCATTTCAGACAGTCTATGCAAGTTAACCTCCAAGTCTGTGGTGCAGAATGAAGTTCTGGGATGAATCGTTTCTATTTCGTTCTTGTTGGGTGCTTACATAGTCATCCAGATTCCTAGTGCAATGACAATGCCTAAATCTGGTGAAAGGGATCTGCTCCTATTTTACCAGTTGGTAGTGAAGGCTACAGTCTCCGGGATGATTGCTCTAAAACATTTAGGCCAGAATTTGTTTGATTTCGTGTTGCTTTGAGATGAGAAACTTCTCCTATTTGTTTCTGCTTTCTGCCTTTGTGGATGGTCGGTCTGTAACTTGGAGCAATAAATCTAGGTCTGGATGTTTGTTATATTATGAGCCGTATGCCTTGTCTATCAAGCTTACTGTGAACAGCAGGTTCTCGCCAACAAATATTTGCCATGGTGATCTTATTTGGAAGATAAATCTATCCCATTCGTGTGTAAACCATACATCAACATTCTTTTTACCATCATAACAAGTGCAACTGCAGCAGCAACTAAGTGCGAGGTTTATGCTTCTCGTTCGTTCGTTTGCTATCAGGTTTCATCCGGTCTGCTGTGCTGGATGCTTGGCCAGATCAAGGCGAAGGATGTGGTTAAACGCAACGGAGCCGCAATACAAGTGAGTTCCAATCTTGACTCCACTGGTGAGCAGGGCGAGTTGAGGATCACTGTAATGTGCAACAGGTTTTCCCTCCAAATCGACCACGAAAACCCCGCTGTTCTTCTCCATTTGCAGTGGCCCTAGGTGCTTTGTCAGGATCGCCATAGCCTTCCGGAGGACGGGTTGCTTGAATGCAAAATCCCACATCGCATTAATTCCCTGTCAATTGTCATCAGTTGAGCACCATAAACTTCAATCCATCATAACCAGACAGCAATCAACAGACAAGAATCTCAAATCTAGCACTAGCAGTGCTATTTACCCCGGGGAACGCAATCCAATAGTGGCCTTCACCATCATAGTGGATGTTATCTGGGACTCCAGGCAGATTATCAGCAAATTTCTCCACCTTCCCCTTCTTCTCCCCATCTATGTAGTATTTCCTACACCTTTTCCTGCCATTTTGCACCATAGTGCAAGACAAAAGATGAGTGTTGAGAGTTGCAGAAACCAGGGAATCAAACATAGACTGCAAAGGGATTTTCATTACATGGGTGTTTCGCAGAAGACGAGGGACTGTTGATCCGGGGAAACCGCGACTCCATTAGCAAAGTAGAGATCATGGAGCAGAACTTCCGTCTGTTTGGTGACAGGATCATATCGCAGCAACCTGCCATGCGGCTTCCCTTCCAAAATGTCAAAGATGGCTTCTGCCATACTGTATACATAAGAAGCATCAGTGAAATACATTGCCCCGTCTTCTGCTATGGCTACCTCGTCCGTGAGCTTGAATTTCACCCCTTCTGCCTCCACCGTCAGCACTTCTATTCCTCCATCTCTGCTTACTCTCAGCAAACCCTGCTCACAATCGTATGGAGGCTATTAAAGTTCTTATTCAAAATTAGCTTCCACGCTATGACTGGACAACAAAAGCCACAAGGCAAATTCCATAAAAAAAAAAAAAAAGTATATGCAACCCGACTGCCGAAGAAAAAATCCGGTCCAGCAATTTACTGTAACTTTTTTGGGTTTTGCTCTGTTTTCGTTATCCAAGAGCAAAATGGGCGCCGACCAAAAACCCTTACCTTGTAAGCGTCAGCTACAATCAGCGCGTCGTTGGTCCGGTCGAGGGCGAGTCCGAGCGGCCTGCCGCCGGTGTTGACCCAGCTCGACACCGCCATATCGGCAACCGACTCGTTCACCGTGACTCGCTTGATCCACCCGTCAGCGCAGCTGGTGTAGAAGACGCCGGGCGCAGCGTCGTAGAGGATATCCTCGGGTCCGCTGAGCTGACCCTGGCCCACTAGCTCGGAGCTTTTGAGGATGGCGTGGTTGGTTAATGGAGCTTTGAGGGGAGGCTGGGTCAACTCGTGGAGCGGGAGGTGGACCGGGTCGAACGAGTCCAAATGGTAAACCAACAGAGTAGCCACTAAAACAGGGGATGCGAAGAACAGGAAGAAGGACATTGTCTGGGAAGCCATCTCGGTGGCGAATTAGCGGGAATACAGAGTAACGACAGTGAGCAATTACTGTGTTGGAGATGATTGTCTTTAGGTATTAGGTTTGCAGGAGTTTTGATAGCTCAGCTTTTTTAATAAAATACAGGCAAAGCCAAGTCAAGCATTTCTTCTGGGTCTACTGCTGGGTTGTGTGGCAGGGGGATCCCTGGGCTGAAAAGCTCTCTGTTTTTTTAATTGAAGATTTCCCGGCGGCTGCTGGGTGGTGACTATAGAGTTTTGTCTACTTTTCTCTATTTCAAATTTACTCCAACGAGATTGAAAGTAGGAAGGACATTTTTGTCTTTTCTCTATTTCAAATTTACTGCAATGAGAGTGAAAGTAGGAAGGACATTTTTATCTTTACAATTATTTATTTATTTCATATAAAAAATGCTAATATAAGGATTTGAACCCAAATCTCTTCAAACAAAGATAACAATCACAACCAATTACACTAAACAAATTTGTTGTATACTTCTTAATATACAACATACATGAAGTGACACTCTAAAAATCGGTGGACTATTCCATCATGATTAGCAAGTCCACTAAGTCTACCGTGTGTATTTTTATGGTGCTTGATACTGCATTTTTCATAGTCGAGTTTCATTTATTTTTATTGAAGAAACTAATTCTATTACTACGTGTTGTGTCCTTGCATTTTATAATTTATATTTAAATTCAGTACTTTTTTTTATCTTTGTTCCTTAAACTTTGATAGAGTCTATTAGTATATTGGAGGTAATCCTAATTTTGACGTTTGCTTCAAGTTTTGATGGCCCCCTCTTAGCCGAGTTGTTAGTATATAGTTGATTTGAATCAACAACTCTCCATTTTTTTTATTAGTGACATATTGTTTCTAAAATGAGAGCATCGAACCTTTATGTAGGATTTCGAGGTTTAAGATTTATTAGTTTCAATCTATCTATGGTTCATGTGGGAATTTCAATGAGCTTTTACACTCTATCTTTCTTGACAATCAACTAACCAATAACATTTTACCGGGGACTTAATTATCATTATGAAAGTGGGATCGATGATACATTTTTTATATTTTATATTCTTAAATTATGATGATATTTCTCCAAATGTTCGACATATATATTCTTTCTTTATGTATCATCTCGATAGAAAGATTGTCAATAAAATTATACAGGTTGAGAGATATAAACGTAACATAAAAATACAAATAATCAAATATGAATATTCCTGCCAACGGGCCGGGTTATAAGCTAGTTTTATATATGCTTAAAATTTCATTTGATGTTTACATATTTGACCGCGGATCAGGCTACAGTCTCTGGAGGATTGCTCTAAACACATTTAGGCCAGAATTTGTTGCAAACAGATTTCGTGTTGCTTTGTGATAATGAGATAAGAACCTTCTTCTATTTGTTTCTGCGTTCTGCCTTTGTGGCTGGTCGGTCTGCAATTTGGAGCAATAAAATCCGAGTCTGGATGTTTGTTATATCACGAGTTGTATCTTGTATGCCTTGTCTGTCAAGTCTGCTGCAAGTATCGGGGTTCTCGGTGACGAATTCGAGCCATGTTGATCTTACTTGGAAGTTAAATCTAGCCCATTCATGTAAACAATACAACAACACTATGTGTACCATCATTACAAGTGCAACAGTTGTAGCAGCAGAAGCAACTAAGTGCGAGGTTTATGTTTCTCGTTCGTTCGTTCGTTAATTTGGCGTTCACGTTTCATGCGGTCTGCTGTGCTGGATGCTTAGCCAGATCAAGGCGAAGGATGCGGTTCTCTACAAGGGATCCGCAATACAAGTGAGTTCCAATCTTCACACCACTGGTGACCATCGCGAGTTGAGGATCGCTGTAATGCGCAACAGGTTTCCCCTCCAAATCCACCACGAAAACCCCGCTGTCCTTCTCCAATGGCAGTGGCCCTAGGTGCTTTGTCAGGATCGCCATAGCCTTCCGGAGGATGGGATGTTTGTACGCAAAATCCCACATGGCATTGATTCCCTGTCATCAGTTCATCACCAAAAACTCAGAATCCATCACAACCAGATAGTAATCAACAGACAAGAATCTCAAAGTCTAGCAGTCCTATTTTACCGCGGGAAACGCAATCCAATAGTGGCCTTCACCATCATAGTGGATGTTATCTGGAACTCCAGGCAGATTATCAGCAAACTTCTCCACCTTCCCTTTCTTCTCCCCATCTATGTAGTATTTCCTACACCTTTTCCTGCCATTTTCCACCACAGAACATGACAGACAACCAGAAGAGGAGTGTTAAGAGTTGCAGAAGCCAGGGAATCAAACAAAGACTGCAACTGCAAGGGATTCTGATTACATGGGTGTTTCGCAGAAGACGAGGGACTGTTGATCCGGGGAAATCGCAACTCCATTAGCAAAGTAGAGATCATGGAGCAGAACTTCGGTCTGTTTGGTGGCAGGATCGTATCGCAGCAACCTGCCACGCGGCTTCCCTTCCAGAATGTCAAAAATGGATTCTGCCACATTGTAGTCATAAGAAGCATCCGTGAAATACATTGCCCCGTCTTCTGCTATGGCTACCTCGTCCGTCAGCTTGAACTTCACCCCTTCTGCCTCCATAGTCAGCACTTCTATTCCTCCATCTCTGCTCACTCTTAGCAACCCCTGCAGATAAACGTTTGGATTAAAAAAGGTAAAAACTAACAACATTTTCAGATAATAATAAGTTGCCTGAAACAAACAAATGGCAGCCGACGAATAAAGAATTTTAGAGCAACGAAGAGCAATCCTCTAATTGTTCTGTTGTTTTCGTACGCAACTAGTACCAGAACTTTTGTTATTGCAAGAAGAAGTACCAGAACTTTTCATTTATTTTTCTGGGTCAATACCTTGTAAGCGTCAGCTACAATCAAAGCATCGTTGGTCCGGTCGAAAGCGAGCCCGAGCGGCCGGCCGCCGGTGTTGACCCAGCTCGACACCACCATATCATCAACCGACTCGTTCACCGTGACTCGCTTGATCCAGCCGTCAACGCAGCTGGTGTAGAAGACGCCGGAGACGGCGTGGTAGAGGATGTCCTCAGGTCCGTTGAGCTGACCCTGTCCCACGAACTCGGAGCTTTTCAGGATGGCGTGGTTGGTTAATGGAGCTTTGAGTGGAGGCTGAGTCAACTCGTGGAGCGGGAGGTGGACCGGGTCGAACGAGTCGAGGTGGTAGACCAGCAGAGTGGCTACTAAAACAGGGGACAGGAAGAACAAGAAGAAGGACGGCCAGGTGGCCGAACTCCGGCGACTCTGCGGCGGCGTTGTTGTCTGCGAAGGCATCTCGGTGGCGATTAGCGTGAATTGCGGAGAAGGAATGGCGTCTGGGGAAGATGAATGAAACGGATAACTCAGTTGGAGATTTTGGAGCCTCTGCTAAAGAATGTAACGTCCATGATAGCGAGATACAGAGAAACGACAAAGAGAAATTACCCTGTTGGAGATAATGTCGTTGGTATTAGGTTGGTATTAGGTGTGCGGGAGTTTGATAGCTCAGCTTTTGAATACAATACAGGCAAGCCAAAGCGGTGCCTTTAGATTGTTTGAGCCCATAAAGAGAACTGATCAAGCAACAAAGAAAAGTTTCAGGGGTTCTTGATTGAGAGTGTCAGACCTCAGGATTGCAGGGTTATATCGGTCAGGTAGAGACTTTAAGTTGTCTTCCATAAAGCAATGTAATGGAATTTGAGAGCTGGGAATTATGATTTTCATGGAGGGATAACAATACCATATGTATACAACAGATTTTTATAGCCTCTTCGACAGTTGACAAGGAGGCCAAGAAACGTCTGAAACCACTCTGCATTGGTAAAGCAGATAACAGGAACAATGCAGAAAACATACAAACTGGACCAAGTTTCAAAACTGCAATTGAGATACAAGGGAAGAATGCAGGAAGATAAAGATGTGCCACACTTGACATTACAACAGCTCTCAAACATAACTGTCAATCAAAGACTTCCTCATCTCATCCACAATGGCACTAGGTTGGGCTTCCCTTAGCTTGAAGACGCTCTCGATGACAGACAATTCGGTTGCTGTAGTGTCTGATCCACAGAAAGCTGTCCAGTCATTAACCGTCATTCCCGCAGCTATGACTTCACTGCCACGGTTAACTGTACCGGCAACCAAGGGGATCTGGAGAAGGGTGGAAAGTTCGTCCAGGTCTTCAATGGAAGTGTGGGGGTGCACCTGTAGTTTTGGTGGAAATGAGATCATTAGACATCTATTGTGTAAACACTTAGATCAAGACAGGGAAGGAAAATGTCAGTGTGCCCTTACCAAGCCGCCTCTGTTTGAGAGAGCACAGTAGCTTCCCACAAGAATGTTACCAGCGATAGTCTGTCGGAATACTTCTACTCCGAGAACATCAGCTATCAGTTCTTCGGTTTCCTAATCATAAAGGGATAAATTAGCCCTGAAGTCGCAGCTAAGAACTGAGATATTTCCGGCAACAGGATTTGAAATGACAGGTCACACAGCTGAAGCATAAGGAGCCCTTGCCTACTTGGATAATATGAAAGGTCGAACAAAATTTTAGCCACCTAAGATACTTGGGCGATGATAATAGACACGTTGGGACTATTTTGCTACAAAGAACAGTTTGCTTAATGCCAGCCAATACTTACCCTGTCAAGATCAGTATGTGCAAGAGCAACATGGTCATTACAAGCAATGACATTTCCAAGAGCTGACAATCTCTCCTCTATCCTCTGGACAACAACTGAATCAGGTAGACTGTTCCTCAAGTGCTGAAGTTCTACAATGCGAAGCGAGCACAAACGATTAGAGGCCGTCAATCAAACTACATGCTCAGAACCAGACATGTTGAATAAACTCATCAAACTCACCCTGATCAGTGGTGTTGTGTGGCAGAAGAAGTCCATTTTTGTTCCCTGCCAAAGCAAGCCTAGAGCAGTAAGCAGAAATCACCGCGAAAGACGACAGCAATAAGAAACAACGGATAAACACTGATCTTACCAGCACATAGCCTCCCGATTATTCTAGTGCCTCCAATCGAGGTCTTAACCACAGGTATGACATCTGCCAACTCTGTCTCAAAGATACTGCAACGTACACAACCAGTGCAGCCATTAACACCAAAAAAAACTTGTATTCAATAACCATCTTATAATTATTGCATAAAAGTTCCAAACTTTCTCGTCGGCCGGAAGAAAGGGTACCTGTAGAAGCTTTCAGATCCTCCAATCGCAACCAAACAGTATGCATTTGTCAGCTTGGAGAAAACACCAACTTCACAGTTGTTCTCGAATTGAAGCCCTGGAAATAGAGAACGCAACTCCTTAACCCATACATACAAAAATTTGTTATCGCAGTATGTACCCAACCCAACCCAACCATCGCAGCATATCATTGATCAGAAAACTTACTGGTCGCCATGACGAATAGCAAACAGCAGCCGGTAATTCAGAACCCTGAAAGCTTCCTTATATAACCGAGAGCTGCAGGATAAAAAAACCCAACTTTTCATCACCAGAACGCACAAAGAAGAACTACTTAGTAAAATAGCAGAACAAAGAAGCGCCGACAGATAGAGAACACGGAGTGACTTCAGAAACTGGGATTCAGGGCATAATCGGTTGTGTAAAGCTACCATCTGAAAAAGCAAGAAGGGAGAAGAAGAAATGAAAGGGAAGGGAAGGAGAAGTACCTTGGATTCGCGTTTCTGCTCTCTGCTTCCAACTTTCAAGCGGAGTAATTCTTCGACTCGGCTCTTACAGACAATTTTGTTTCTGCGTTCGTCAACGAGACGGTTAGGGCAACAAAAGGAAACACGGAAGGCCGGAACGGTGCGGCGCGTGGGAACCGTTCTTATTGGGCTTTCTTCCGACTGGGCCCAATCTTCGTGGATTCATCGTAGTCCATTTAATGGTTAAACCGGCCTTGGTCTGAAGCACAAAAAAGAAAACAGGCCTTGGTCTGATACTCTGACGGTTAGGAATGGCAATGGACAATGTCTAGAGCGGGTATGTATTTCGATACTAATATTTACCTCGTGACAGGTCGAGTTATTTAAACAATTTATTATAGGATATCGATTGGATAGGTTAATCTGATGTATATGTAATTAAAAAAGAATGCATTAGAATTATTCGTTTTCGTTAAAAAGTGAAGAAACAAACCATAATAAGAAAAATATTGTTAAATTATTTAAACAATTGAGCTTTTCTGTTATCTACAACTTTATTAGAGCTAAACAATAAATAATATTGTTAAATAATTTGTAATTAAAAAAAAGCATTAGAATTATTCGTTTTCGTTAAAAAGTGAAGAAACAAACCATAATAAGAAAAATATTGTTAAATTATTTAAACAATTGAGCTTTTCTGTTATCTACAACTTTATTAGAGCTAAACAATAAAGTGAAATTCTACGTAATTTTAAAAAAGACCGGTCGAGTTAGGACAATTATTCAAGATATCAACCGGGACCTACCCTATTGTCATTCCTAGTTGCATTCAGCAAGAAGGGTGACCTACCAGGATACTTTGGCATCAGATGTCAAGACGACTACTGTAACATCCCAAACCTCGGAAAATTTATAAATCAATTCGATTTGATGAGGAATCAAGCATTTCAACCATACTCGAAGAAATTGCGACCCCACCGAATGGTTTATGAAAATGACGAATATTCTGGAATGATGAATCAGATATTTCGAACAAATCTCGATTCCACAAGTTAGAAAATTCTTCCACGATCACGTAGAATTTTACGGAACTAAGTTTGGATTTCAAACGAGCGAGATATGTCATTTTGAAGCCTACACTTCGCGTTATCGAAATAACGTACGTGTCGACACTAATTTAGCCACAACTTCTTCGTTTGTAATCGAAACAACGAGTCGTATGCACTCACACGATCGTGGTGGCGAGGATAACATTTTAGAGGCAACACTTCCAAACACACGACATGTCGAAGTAAATAAAAGAACAAAACATGCTGGTATATGAGCTGCAATGAGCGACAAAGGCTTCATTTAATTCTTTGGACCAAACCAAAGACAAGAGGTTATGAGGAGGAAAGAAACAGCCTGCATTACACGTTCTGTATACACTACAATATTTCAATGCATTTTGCACCGATGGAGAGACGACGACAACCAATTATTTTAGACAAACTTCAATATAGACGGCTGGCATATCTAATCTACTAGATGCAAATTATTGAAGGGAGAGTGAGAAGAGCATTTAAACAAAGCGAAAGCTTCTGTTCTTCTTCGTCCTCCACCATTGACCAACTTGAAACGAGTGAGAGGAAAGAAAGGAAATAGAAAGAAAAAGGGGGAACCAAACTTCTGTATCTTCATTGGAGTCGGAATCATCATTGGAGGTTCGTAGGAGCTCGTCGGAGGCTTGTCGAGAAGTTGCGTTGACGACACCGGCGTCGTAGACTTCAATAAAACTCCACAAGATTGGTACCATGACGATGAGGACAATCTTAGGAGCGTGCACATTTCGACGAAACCCATTTTTGACATCCGACGAGTGAGATACGAGTTTGGGAAGTTTGGGATGAAAATCAATCCGTTCAGGTACCATTACTGTGAGTTCGAAATGTTTGAGTACCTTTCCGTAGTTTACCTGTGAAAGAGGTCAATGATCAGATGTTGACTGGAAAATTACGAAACCAGTACCTAGTGCTTTGAGTAGTTACTAAATTCGTGTTTCGTTCATAGTTCATTCGTTTGACGTCCAAATGATGAACCGTCTTCTCCTACAGGCATCGTGAGGATGAGGAGAATATTATAGAAGTGAGATTTGAAATTTAAAGAGTCATCCTAGAATCAATTTCCTCATAAATATGGTGTGTGGGCTTACGATAAAAGGGAACCGGAATTACGTGTTTATTTTTAAATACGCATGATGGAGTTGATTATTGATGATTATGATGGATTTGTGATTGATTCATGATTGTGATCTTGGATGGAATTGCTGATGAATTTAACTGAGCTTTTTGATAATTATTATTAATATAAGTCCCGTATTGAAATTGTTGACGTCTATGGTGAATATCGAGTATTTTCTAAAAATGTCTACCGTGATTAGAAGGAGGAAAAGAAATTTGAAGACTACTGCGATGGTGGGTCGGTCATGGGATTTCACCATAAGAATAATTATATTGTGATAATTGGATTTTGCTGGAATTAAATGATACTATAAATTTTAAGAGGATAAATGGTAAACATATACACTGACGTGAGGAGTTAAACCTTGTCAGATATGATGATTTAGGAAATCGGAATATTTTTGGGTGAATATTATCGAGCTCTATATAATTTTAATATTAAAAAGCAAGGTTGTCAATCCGCGGGTTGACCCGGACACGGTCGAGCTAGTGGGTCAAAGGTTAATGGGTCAACCGTTTTAGCCCGGTTTGGCTCGGAAATATGGAAAAAGTCATTATATTATACTTATCCTCATAAATTATATCAAATCTTATCTAACATATGAGTTATAACATATAATATTACACCAAAATAAATATCGTATATAGATCCAACGTATAGTGAAAATTCACACACACTTATATAATATAAATATTCAAATGTTCAACTTAGCATTCCAAAATTGAGCTAGGCGAAAAGAAAAATCGGAAAATAGGCGCATTTCGCAAACCAATGAAAAAAATGACACAATTTGACCTCCAACCCGGTACCTTGTAGCGATCGGCCCGACGGGTGCGTGCGGCCCGTTTTTTTCACCGGGTCAGAGTCAAAGTGGGTCAACCCGCGGGTTGACAACCTTATTAAAAAGTCTATTTTTACGATTTTGAGAAATACGTGTTTTAATGAAATTCCTCGTCAAGACGAACTCCTCAATTTTGTCTCTCATTATATTCTTCTATCCTTGTGATAAGTCGTGCAATTGATCATCGTCTCAACTCTCAAGCCTCAGTTCATCCTTGGAGTAGCGTCGATCAAACTACTTATAAGAACGCTGTTACCGCACTTCTTCCGTGCTAAACCATACCAACAGCAGCGATGAGTCTAATCAGAACGGCTCTCTGTCATGGTAAAGCTGTGTAGCTTGAAAAAAGTATGCAGAGTGTCTATAATGATATAATAGATTCAAGTGTTCCACAAATCTCATAAAAAAAACAGAGGCGAACACACAGAAACGTGAAAGAAATTAATCAGTCTGATCGTTAGTCCCGCCTCCCCACTCCTACAAATAACAATATACCTGTCTGTCTGATAGCAAAACGCTAACCCCCGTGTAGACGTCTATAATGATAGATATTACTTCGCGCAGATACTGATCCCAATCTTATAGCTCACGGAAAGAATCAGGACCCAGAAGAACATCAGGCACATCCAGGCCCTAGAAGCCATGGATCCTGTCTTCAAACTCGAACCACCAGCTCCCTGCGGCCAAGTGAACGACAAGACGACATTGACCCCCATGTTCTTCCCGAAACCAGACCCATCCATCGCGTCGCCTCTCAGCGTCATGTTCTCTATTGTGATCATACCAGCAGTGACGTGAATCGAGGAGCTGGAAGGTTGAGCTGAGGCGTAGCGGAGAGCTGCTCCCTTGACGGGGAACTCTGCGGCCATTGCAGGGGGTGCGTGTATATTACCCAACATCCGGCTCGCTTTGCTAATGAACGGGTAGTTCATATCTGCACAATCAGATAACATAACACAGGAAATGAGTCTCTCTGCATCAGCTAGAGCAGGAGAGAAGGAAATAAGCCGCGAGAGAAGGAAATAAGCCGCGGCCTGGCTAGAAAATGGTGCGAGTGCATTCACCCGAGTGGGGCTCTCGACATGTAACAAAATCACAGCAATATGATATTCTAAAATTACCGGTTTCGGATTTCATGCTATACGGTTTCTGCACGGTGGAATCAGGTATCTGCTCCGAGGACGATGCATCACCATGCATGCTCAACGGGTTCTCGCTCCTAGAGTGAAGATCATCATCTACCCCATTTGAAACCTGTACCAGAAATGAAAATTCAATATCCCAGTCCCTTCTTAAAATAGACCAAACTAGAGCAGCAATGAAAACTCCAAGACAGCTTTAGTACCTTGTCGGATTCAGGTGACTGGTCAGAAGTGAAATCGTCACTTCTCAATACATCAGATAGATCAAAGTCCAACTCATCTAAATCAAGGAAATCCTCGAAGTTGAAATCGGCAGGGTCTGAACGTGGCTCCAGAGGGTTCGACAGTTCTGATGCTTCCAAGAAAAGCCCTTCGGCATATTCACTGTTAGCAGTATCTGTATACGGTCTACCATGGAAATCCCCGTTGTCAAGAGGATTCAAGTCCTTGCTTGAACTAGCAATATACTGTGCATCTACACAATTGTCACCCATCTCATTTTGCCCAGATAGATGAGGCAACTGTGGATAAACTGGTACTGCCAAGGTGTTTAGAGGCTCGGCCAGAAGGGGTTTAGGACCATCTTCATCAGAGCTTCCGACATTCTCTATTTTAGTGCTCTTCTCTTCATAGTAGAAGGTCGGTGGAACATCAACATTCTCGCAATCAGTTCCAGCAAAAAGTTTCTACAGATGATTGAATGAAAAATGTAGAAACCAGTTAGAAGTAAATAAACAGTCAATGAAAACATACATTTGCGGAATTGATTCTATTGACGTAAAATGAAACTTTGTTCTCGACCAGAGCAAAATATAAAACATTGGATCATCAAAAAGGAAAATGAAAGCTTACATAGACAATACTACTCTTGTGGTAATAAGTGGATAACTGACTCAATAATATGGTAGAACACTCGGAATGGACGGAATTTCTACCAAACTCGACTCCAACAAATGATGGCCTACACCAACTATAACGTTGGATGATGAACTGTTTGAATAAAAGAAGCAAACAATGAAAGACACCTACCTGTTCAAATTCTTCTGCATCCACATATTCACTGTCAATCTCAGCCACGCCATCAGGGGAAACGATCTCTTGACCAGTCACAACAGGGACTTCATCATCTTCCCATTCCTCCTCGACAAAAGGCGCTCCATACTGTTCGCCATTTTTTGGTCCAGTTCCACTCTTTCTGAAAATCCTACAAAGGACATAAGTATCCTTTTGCCACAAATCAAGCAACAAAGTGAAGAATACCCATCAGCAGCAACATCAAAGCAACTAGAATACCAGCTGAATCAAGAGTTTAGAAACAAAGAGTTCCAACTCACCGGCCCAATTCCGAATTTCCCCAACTCCTCATCAGAAAGGCGGTACTCATGCATCACCCAATTGGAACGCTCACCGTGCGGGGCACGCCCAAGGTGGTAGACAAGAGTTTTCTTCATCCCCACGATTGCAGAATTGGAGCGGATAGGCCTATCCTTCCCAGTTGTTTTCCAGTAGCCTTTCTCGGTAGCCCGATTCGTCTTTGACCCATTACCATACTTCCTATCCAATAAACTAAAGAAGTACCACTCCAAATCCCTGCTCTTCAACTTCGATCGATCTAGTCCCAACGAAACAAATGTAAACGAGAGTTAAAAAGAGTATCAATTTCACAATCAATCTAATCAAGCGCACCCAGAACCAACCGTCCAGCTGACAACCTAATACACTGGGGGAAACAATTCACTTCCTAGTTAAGATCTGAGCACTACGACAATCAAACCAATCGATCACTCATCAATGTCACTGCCAGAACGCAAAATTCACAACCTTGGAAGATTTAACTCACTTTCTAAGCTGTTCTCCTCATATCAATCACAATATGCAGCTAAATTTCAAGCACCTCCTGGCAGATACTAACTTGCAGAGGACCTACTCCTACTCATAAATCAACCCCAACCAAGAAAAAAACAAAAACCGAGTGCAAAATTGAAAGAAAAAACAGACCAGGCAGATCCCAAGGCTCCGTTCTGTAGACGTCAACGACGGAAATCGGGTCAAAGCGGACGGGCTTGTTAGTGACCTTTCTCTTCAGGTAGTACCGGAGCAGCTCCTCATCAGTGGGGTGGAACCGGAATCCAGGACCGAGAAAAGTTGTCGAGTCGCCGCGAGCCATCTACCGAGCCGAATCGAATTGGAGCTGAACGAGACGAAATCGCGACAAAAAGAAAGCTTGCGTCTTGAGAAGAAAACTGAATCGATCACGGCGTCTTCTCGAGACAAGAAACCAAATCGGGATTAGGGTTTGAAGGAAAATCCACGGTACAATCAGTCGGCGGTTGAATCAAACGTCTGCGGTGCTCGACGGTGGCGGAATCGTAAACTAGGAGGAAAGAGAAATAGCCATTGCCAAGCCTTTTCGCATATGGGGAAAAGAAAAACCCAGCGGAACGAAGGAACGGAGTTTTATAGACTGAATTTCCGATGAGGAAGTGGGGAGGGGAAAAGCTAACGTCACTGGGGAAAACAGAATCGTTAGATCACCGTCATGAAAGGGTCATAGTTTTCGTGCGGTCACCGGCTAATGGGCTTGGCTGCTGGACCGGGCCCACAAGAGTACTTTGCTAGCAAGTATCGGGCCAGAGTCGACGTGGGGCCTAGCTGGGGCGCCACGTGGGAGAGTGTGAGCTGCAAAGTGGATGGTAGGAGGCGCGTTTTTTTAATGTGACGGGGGTGAGGAAAAAAAATAGGTAGGAAGAAGGAAAATTACGATTTTGTCTCCTCTGGTCAATTTCTTTGTTTATTTTTTTTCCTAATTTTAAAAGTAAAGGAAAAAGGATTTAGAGGAGTGCGTATGAAGTAACCTCAAAGGAAGAATCTAGATCCTTTTCCAAATTATCCACGACTTCCGTCTATTTCCTTTTTTCCATTTTGTTAATCGAGCTAAGCCCAATTTGCTTTAGTGGTGTATTTGCCTATTTGGGCCTGCTAGTGTGCGTGTTAGTGGATAATTACGGCCCCAATTACTAAGCCCATTTGTGTAGAGGATTAATGGCCAAGCACCTCCTTCCTCCGGTATATAAACCGTGGGTTGTTAACCGTACGTGCGGTTTGACCACAAAATATCAGGGACTAATCGGGTAGAGCGGTATCAACGGTTGAACTATACAACTAAACCGCGATTTCGCCAGACACATAGGCTAGAGGAACTGAAGCTCAGAAGAAAGAAATGTTCACCACCTCGATTCTGTCTCATTCTGCAGCTAACAAATTGTAAACAAGTATACCAGATATGTCTCGATCAATTATGATCAGGAATCCTAACCAGTTACAGTGGACAGTAATCTTACTTTGTTCTCGTGAAATCTCATAATAGGAATGCTCAATGTGTAATCCAGTAAGTCAATAACCATACTAGAGACTTACAACTTACAATTTTTTTCTACAGTGTAAACTAATTACACTATCTACCACGGCAATACAACAGCAGTGTCATTGTGATATCATAAGAATTCTACAGGTCAAGAGGCTCTGGTGGTGCCATTTTACATCTCTCCAGGAAGCATTGTGTCCTCTGGAAGGTCACAGTAAGCAATTCCCTGAAAATAGAAACCAAAGGATGCGCGATTATTAACAATTTTCCATTGCAGATAAGCTCGCGAAAGTGGAGCTGATATGGAGGAATGAATCCTACCTCTCCCGTAAGGTGTGCGACACACCTCTTCTCAGCTAACAGTTCAGCCTCAGTCTGCAAATTAGAAAAGTTAAATACAAAAGTTGGAAATGTGAAGAGCTGTTTTAGGACATTTATCGTTTGTGGCTCCTGAAGTAGTGGCATGAGTGGACCTCAAGGAACTGCATATACCTTAGCGATTCTACTGCGAAGGTAGTCATCGAACTGTATTTCCTTGACAAGTTCATAATCACCATCTCCCTGGTAGAAAGCTGAGTTATGAGAGAAGGCATTTGTTCACATTTGAATGTAAGTGAGTGAAGGAGAAAGAGAGCTGACCTTTGATCTGCATGGCATGCTGAAAACTATGTCTTCTGCTATACCATAAGGATTTCCACTTGTGTAAACCTGCAGTGTACATAGTGAAATGGTGAGATAACCATTTCTCCCCACCTTCACCAAGACAACTGAGGAACAAGTTCCCGCTGTTTAAATTGGCAGCAATCAAAAAGGCAGAACTTACTCCGGAAGAAAACCAATCACCCTCGGGAGTAGGAGTCACGAGAGATTTTATGGCATCGACAATTGAAACAGCCGTTGATGCAGCTGATGACCGCCCCCACTTCTGAATCAGTGCTCCACCTCTCTGCAATGTTCCGATATTTACTTTGTTGGTTAACTATTGCTCAGCTGTAACAGCTTTTGAATTTCAGAATCTGAAGCGAAAGGAAATGGAACCCAAAAGAATTGCAGAGGTACTACAATATCAGTGCATCTACAACATCTCTCACCTTCTGGACCTTCTCAGTGAATTCATGTTCGAGCCACTTGTCATCTTTGATAACTTCCTTGACAGGCATTCCGTCGATTTTAGCATTTAAGAAGTCTGGAACCTATATATGCAGATCAGAGAAATGTTTCTTGCACGTGTAAGTTCCAAAGCAGCACCACAAATATATGCAGTCTGCCAACAGAAGAAAATGGAGTACCTGAGTTGTGGAATGGTTTCCCCATATCGTCACATTTGACACTTTGTCATAAAAGACACCTGCTTTTAGGGCAAGCTGCAAGAAAACTCCACGTTGTTAAATGTAAATGTTTTCTTCACCATGATTTCTAATAGAACAAGCTTGAAGAATTCAAGGATACCTGGCACTTCGCCCTGTTCTCATCTAACCTAGTCAAAGCATGGAAATTTTTCGCAGGTATTTTTGGAGCATTTTTCAAACAAATCAGAGCACTGCAACCAAAGGGAATAATACAAATCAATTGAAGCACCAAAATGTACCACAAACCCTAACGAACCAAGGGAAAATAACTATCAAAATGTCAAAGCAACTTGATTGATAGACTTACTTGGTATTACATGGGTTGCCAACTACCATCACCTTGACGTTCGGGGAGGCAACAGCATTTAGAGCCTTACCCTATCAAGTTTGAGTTAAGACTGTAAGGTTCAATCAGTGCGTAAAAAGGACAAATGAGAGGAAGGAAATCTTGGCACAATTGGTACCTGCTCAGCAAATATCTGGCCATTGATATCTAGCAAGTCAGCTCGTTCTATCCCGGGTCCTCGGGGCTTTGCTCCAATCAAAAGAGCCCATTCTGCATCTTGGAAAACCTCGTATGCATCTATCCCGATGTTGACCTCCCTCAACAAAGGAAACAAGGAGTCCTCAAGCTCCATTGCGACACCTGCCCCACCAAATAAGTGAAATTGTGGAGTGAATATAAATTGCCTGAATCATTACTTGGAAGAATGATTAGTTTCCAGGTTCCTGAAAAACAATGGGCATTACAATAACAGATCAAGGAAGCAGCACAATGCCACTTCCTAGTATGGCATGGCACATGTTTCAAATACATATCTCTCTTGTTATGAGGTCAATTGTTCATGCTCGTGCATGCAAAGAACTACTACCTTCAAGAGCTTGGATTGACCTTTCAGAGCCCAAGAGTCGCAATGCGATTGGTTGATCGGGTCCAAAGACCTCACCAGATGCAAGCTGCAATAGGACAGCAGAATGACCAAATTGAACAGGACTGAAAAATCAGAAAATCACAGCATAACCAAATATTATACTATCTTCTGATTAAGATTGGGATACACTCACCCCCTATGAGCTTCCCATCATTATAAACAAAGCTTCCAATTCAAACAACAAAACCATCTAGGTGCAAGTTTTACAAGGCCAAAAGTAACATCATTTTGGGGAGCCACATTAACCTAGACTGACAATGCAAGAAGCAGTTCATGAACATGAAGAAGGCGATTACTACTTACTTTAAAGAGAAGATGATTGGATATCATCCCAGCCGCACCAGAGACGGCTATATTAATCAACTTTTTCCATGTTTTAGTCTCTTCTTCCTGCACAAGGGAAAACCCCACAGAATCAGTTTCAGCAGCCATGAAGACATAATCCAAGTCGGTGAGCGAAACAGCAGGGGAAAGGCTCTAAAAGAAACAGAAACGCAGAAACAAAATGTCCCCATTATGTTACTGAACTCCCAAACTTGGACACTCTCAGAAGTAGAGGATGGTTGATTGGGATCATCACACATAAATTTTCTCTCACAAAACTATCATCAAACACCTGGTATGCACTCAGTAAAACCAAGATGTAAACTTAACTTAATCAAAATAAAATGCTGGATCACGGACGACAAAGCTTCCTCTGAGGGAAAAAGGATAACGACCACAGTTTGTAACAGGTGAAAACAGAGGAAACAGAGCAACTTACAGCCTTGAGATCATAGGTTAAGCAGAAAACGCCGTAACATTCAGCCTTGTCCTTTGGCGCTTCCACCTGAACCGGAGCCGAATTTTGAACTTGACTGAAACCCAACAGGGAAATCACAAAAACAATAAAGAAAGTTAGAAGCTTGTAACAATCAAACAAACCGAGAAGAGGGGAAAGGATTAGAGAAGCAAAAAGAAACGTACTTTACAGAGCAGGTGATTCTGGGGAGGACTGTGGACCGATATCTGGATCGGAAATGATCAGAGGAAAGACAGGAGGATGAAGGGGCGTAGAGCTGGGAAGAGCGGAGACGGTTGGCGTTGTTGTAATTGTGGGCAAAGGAAGCAGCAGGGGATGTAAGCTCTGCCACCGCCATAGCCAGAAGATAGAAAGCTCGAGGGTGGAACAAGGATAGACAGCGGGAGAGAAGTCAATACTGTCGCGTCTATGAGGGAGAGTGGCGAAGGAGAAATTGAATTGGGTTTATAGCAGCTGCTTCTGCTGCTTCCTGGATTGAGTGAGAGGGAAAGGAGGAAGTGGAACAGAGACCTGAGGTTCGTTTGGATGATTGGCAAAGCGGGAGAGAGAGAGAGGAGAGTCGAGTGTAAGGCCACCCATACGACACGTGGCGTACAGATGTGATCCTGAAAATCTACCCAGACCTGATAAAATGGTATATATACCCCACTTTCACCACAGCCCAAGCCCAGGTCCAGGCCCAAGCCCAAGACCAGGCCCAAGCCCAAACTTAAAAGGCTGATTATAAGATCATGAAGCACCAAAAACAGTTGCTTTGGGCCAGAGCCGAGGCAGAAAGAAAACCCGACGCAGAGCAATGAAAGAGTCGCCGCGGATCGACGCAGCCGGCGGCGGCGGCGGCACTGATCGAATATCTGATCTTCCTTCTAAAGTAATCCACATTATTCTTGACCGCCTCAACTCTCCAATTCAGGCGGCGAGAACAAGCGCATTGTCCAGAAGCTGGCTCCAATTCTGGCGCTCGTACCCGGTGCTGGAATTTCGCCACGAGGACTTCGCCGATCGTCGGTGTGATCTTGGGGAAAAGTTCAGCAGCTTCGCCGCCGCCTGGTCGAGGAGGCTTTCGGACCATGACAACTACGGGATGCCGTTGGACGTGTTCAGGATCTCATCGCCGCCCAATCGCGATTTCGCCGGCGAGGAACTCACCGCGCTGCTGGCGTCGGCAGCGGCGCTGGCCGTGAATCATACCCTATCTCCCGTAGAGATTGTAGTTGAAACGGACGGATTCCATGATTTCCCAGAGGGATTGCTTTCGAATTGCAGTCGCACCGAGGTTCTGAAGCTGAGAGGTTGCAGATTGGATGATGACGATGGATTCCGAAACCGCTCAGTTTCCTTCGACAGTCTTAGGGTTTTCCATCTCCAGAACGTCAAGGTCGACGAAAGCGTCCTTCGCAGGTTCGTTGCCAATGCCACACGTCTGGAATCACTGCGTTTGGGATCCCTCGTTGAATTGGAAAGGCTGGAGATCTCCGCCGACGGTAATTTTCCGAACTTGAAAACCCTAATCATTGAGCAGCCGCATTCCCTGATTGAACTTAAGCTAGCTGCTGCCCCACTGCTAGAGACTCTGGACATTAAACATACAGGGCAATGTAAGCTGAAAGTAGTATCTTCATCTTCAGCCCCTAGTCTCAAAGTGTTAGAATTTAGTGACTCTAAGGGATTGACAGGGTCTGATCTTGATGAGTTAATTTCCAAGTTACCATCTTTGGAGTCTCTGCATTTTGTGATCAAGGATCCCAGCAGCAGCAGCAGCAGCTACAGAATGGATAAAATAAGGATTTCGAGTGATAAGCTTCTGCATTTCAGGATCGACGATTTCCACCCGATCGAGGCACTGAAGGAGCTTGAGATTGATGCTCCCAATCTGGTTAATCTCTACTACTCCAGACGTGGCTCCGGGTTGCGAGGCAAAATCAATGTCCTTAATGTGGCATCGAATTGCCAATGCTTAGTTGAAGTGTTTGACATTGATTTTCGTCTACCCATAACATACGAATGGTTTCTTGGATTGAGGCAGTTTCTTACGGGATTAAGTAAACTCCACACGGTCTTGAAGCTGGATGGAGCTGGGTTCTTTAAGCAGGTATGGACCTCTCTGTCTCTCTCAATCAATGGTTACAATATCTATATGCAGAAATGTGATTTGAATTGAACAAATCATTCTTGTCTGTCTCTGTCTATGTGCTAATTGAAAGGTGTCGTTCGACTTGAGCCAAGCTGATTGCACTTACCCTCCTCCGGTTGTTCAACATTTGCAATTTGGGGAGAATTCGGCATACCAGGATGGCCTGAAGGCGTGTGATAACCTTCTTGATGGCCTGTTCTGGGCTTGCCGTCCTAAGTTCGTGGGCATAACTCAACGCCTTCCAAAACAACTGAAGTACAGCTTCTTATTTTCAGAGGTATGGAAACCCCCCCCAAATGCCCTCTCGTCTCATCTGACCACCATAGTTTAGTTTATTTCATCATAATCTCTTAGATTTCCCATGTTACGAGTTCATTATAACTACGCTCTTACACCTATCAATACAGTACATCTGCGGGAAGCTTATGAATGTCGATCCTGGTAGCTGCTGCGGCAATGGTACTTGTTGGCGACATCAGTTGAAAGATGTGAAGATAATGAATGGTGTTTACGGGACTAGTGCTGGGATGATGGAGATTTCAGAAGATGTGTTCTTTTCCCTTGTAGAGCGTAAAGAAGTCCGGTATATGTTCACATGGTAATGGTGATATGTGATTATAGAGTAGTTTGCCTGACTATATAAACTTTTAGGTAGATTTCAGAGTACTGTAAGTCTGTAACTATATCTGCTACATTTTAGCTTGTGAAAATGACTGCTTCAAGCGAATTGCACCCGCTCGGGTTTTCTTGTTTTTCAAGCAAGATGGCCGAAACTTATCCTCAGAAGCTTTGACAAGAAATGGATTTGCAAGCGATTCTGTTTACACATTCACTATTTCACCATATAAATGTATCTGTAAGCCATTATCTTGGGATTTCTGATTGAATCGACAACATAAACAAAGAAAAGAAAGTAGCACTGGGTGCGTATAAGTTTGTGAGACGATCAATCTCACTGGCAATATGATACAATTCTTCATTTCGGACGATGAGGAGAGCACAGAAACCAATAATTTAAGCTTCTAACAGCAAAAGACCAATTCGTCACAGCAGGTACTATTGTGGATCTTCGGAGTTCATACAAGAGGTGAACTTCAATTGTGTTCATGAATTCCGAAACCACAGTTTCTTCAAGAGAAAGTAAATGTCGCAAATGTTTGGCAGCTTCAGATCCTCGGTGATCCAGTTCGGCTGATGGCAGCGAACAGGATCTTCACAAAAATGGTATGAACCAAAAGGTTGATGCCTTGCCTGCAGCAGTAGGGTTGTGATGATTTTTCACCCAGCAATCCAACGCCAGACCCCAGAACCCTGCTTTTGAGCGGCATCATTCATCTCAATCTCCTGCTCCAGAACAGATTTCTGTCTCCGGAGAAGTTGGACTTCGTTTTCTATCGACTCCAATGATTCAAGTGCCTTCTGCAGCTCAGCAATTTGTGCCTGGAAATCATGGTAGTGCCCCCATAATCAAACACCGTAACATTCTGACTGATAATGACCAAGAAAAAACATAAGAGTTAGGAAGATAAGAGGAAAGCTGAAGAACCTCGAGTTTAAAGCATCTCGATCTCTCGGTCACCAACTGACCCTGCACAGAATGGAGTTCCTGCAAGAGGAATATTGGAATCAAGATAAAATCCAAATGCATTTTAACAATATTCATGCATAAATAAATAGCTATATGAGAAGCAAACCTTCGATAAATCAGCATGAGTACTGTTAACTTCATCGATCTTTTCTCTGAGTCCAGAATTCTCAGCCCTGGCATCTGCTAGTGACACTTCCAGTGTCTTTTTGTCTTCCTTTATTGCATCGATTTCAATAACGAGGTCTTCCTGAGAAGGTTTCTTTTTACCTCGTTCTCTCGAGTTTGCTTCTATGCGGGAAGCATCCAGCTTCTCAGATTTGGCCAAGGCATATGCAGCTGTAACAGAAGCAGCTGCTGCTGCAGCTGCTGGTGACTGATAAATCTTGGGCCGTAACGTGTCTCTGGGTTTCAGTCGCATAACAAAGACCTAAAACTAACTGAGATCAGACATAATATGGAAAAGGAATCAATATGAGGACACTGACAACTCTTGCAATGGATTATACCTCATTAGTATATTTCCCATTATAGCCACCAAAAGAAGCCAAGTACTTCTCCCCATTGATCAATGCAGAGCAAACACTTAGCCCCTGTTTTACAGACACAAAAAAACATTATAAACCATCTTCCTATTTGAAAAGCCAAATGAAAGAAATATCTAGACAAAACTGTTTCTCGTGGCAATGATAAAGGCAGGGGGCAGTTTGACACAATCCAGGATATCAAAATATAGCTACGTGCAAACCGATTTACAAGCAAGTTGGAGTATTATTCATCAATCTCTACCAAGTTCCATTTCAATGCAGAGACCAATTTTGGAGACAAGAGAACACTTAGAATGATTTAACACAGCATCATAACAAGTGGAAGCAAGGTACATCTACTACATGAAGTATGAGGAACAGTGATATTCAAGAGATATCATGGTACAAAAAAGGGACAGCTCATATACATATAAAGAATACCTCCAAAGCGAAAAGTACAGACCTCACTGGCAAGTGGGTGTCTTTCCTTTACGCCGGTCAATGTTGACCATGCAAGCTTGGGCATGTTCAATGCAAGGGTCTCTACAGAACCTGTAAAATTAGCAAAGCATGTTTTATGATCAGAACTTAATCAGGCAGAAATACTAAGTTTCAGAATCAAAAGTAAGACTAAGAGAGTCACTATTCCAGCTTTAAAATTGTCAACGGGATGGATTCTACTGCATGCATCCATATTAGCAGGCATGGGGACCAACAATCTAAAAGGCCAAACCGAAGGTAAATAAATAATGAGCGTTGAAGCAGGAGGAACTGCAACCAATTGTAAGAAACGATGAACCTGAAACCTACTAGTATTTACTTTCTTCATGATTAAGAGCTAGTATGTAGTTAACCAGCTTAAGCCAGAAAAAAATCAAATAAACAGAGGGGAAGGATTTCTGAGACTAGTGCACAGCTGCATATGCAACCATATGAACAAGGACAAAGGCCAAGGTGTCAGTACCATTTTTATTATCTCCTCCGCCTACGATATACCAGTGCTCACCAATGCTTACACCAGCATGACCAGCCCTAGGAGTCACCAAATCACCTTGAATCTCTGGTTGGCTCCACTCCATCTGAAATAGCGAGAAACCTCACTGAATCAAAAGGCGACACTCAGTGCACACTAGTTCAACATAATCTGCAAAACACCTAAGATCTAGAACATAAAACAAGGTTGTCTTCCCTTTTCTGGGTAAAATTAAACAATCCTATTGCAATGAATACACCAGAAATAAAGGCATACCCCATAGCCAAGTCCAATAAATATGAATCTCAATCCTTTGGTTGATTGGATTAATATTACAGGGTGCTATTAGAAAAAATACATCATTCATATGGATGCAGTATCAAAATTCATGGCACGCATCTGCACCAGTATGTTTTCCAAAAGAATTTAACCAACTAAAAATTCTTGAACCAATAACTGTCTCCCGGTCTCATTATTCACACGCTACTTCTTATCGAGAAGAAAAAAAGAAGTGTGTCAAGTAAATGAGCTGATAAACCCACCGTCTGTAGGTCAAGCACATGAAGATCATTGAAGAAGATCGAATGAGAACAACCACCAAATACCAAAAGGTAGCGCCCTGCATGTACTGCTGCTGTGTGGTCAAATCGCGGAGCTGGAGGTGTCTGCCTATGAAACATGCGAAAGTGTTGCAGAAGGTTTCCCTGACATAGCAGTTGTGTATACAAAAGTAATAAAATTGCTTACATTGATTCCACCAGTTCCCACATCATGGTTTCAAGATTAAGGGTGTGAATGTCATTCAGCAGCTTCCTACTTCGATCTTCTCCACCAAAAATCACCAGTCTAGAACCAACAATTGTAGCAGAATATCCCCCTCGAGCAGACTGAAACACAATTCAGCATGTTTCATATAAAGCTTTATTTTACACAACCGGTTTAGCAATGAATTTCTGGAGAAAAGTCCATTGAAACAAAATAATGAGTGGGGAACATAAAAGGAACAGACCAAAAATAAAAAATGTTTGGCACTTACAGGAGAATCTCCTGAGGTCTCAAGGATGCCAAATTGTTGTGTTGGTAGATCAATAAAGTGCACTGCACCAGATGATTTGTATGACATGAGTCTAAAAAACTACTCCTGGGGCGGTTGTCTAGGGGAAGTGGGAGTAAGAGAATATACTCCATTTATATAAACAAAAACTAACCTATCATGCTACTAGAAGAGTTTTTGGAGTGCCCACTGAGTAGAAGCAGTTTGTTTCCCCACTTGACCTGTGAAAGTTCACAAATATTATCAGTTGAATCTAAATGAAAGACAGAAAGTGTGTTCATTTTTACAGGTCACACTTGGATCTGAAGGATTTCCTCGAACACTCATATCCAAGTTCCTACCATGCTGTGGTCTGACGTGGCAGGAAGAGCTTCCTGTGATCCCATTTCCTCAACTTTATGACCATTCAATTCAATGTTCGGTTTAATGCTAGACCAAGCCAAGCTTCCGAAATCAAAAACCTATAAAGAATCGATAACACACGATGATGTCGATACATAAATGAGTAGGATGGTAGTTCCACAGGCTGAAAAATTGACACATTCCACACCTGTATATCAGATAGGTACCGACCATTACGACTTCCACCAAATATATATAACTTATCATCAGCAATGGCAGCGGCATGCTGCAACGAAATGAAAAAAGAAAATTCGTCAGAATTGATGGAGAATGAAATGCTAAAACCTGACATTCTACCAAGGAGACCAAAAAAAGAAAGAAACAAAGGTAAAGACCACGAGTAGCTGCGAACATCACAGCATTCAAAAAGAGAAGGTGAGAGGTTTCAAAACCAATGGAAATAAAATAAACCATTTGGGAAGAGAAAGGCTTACCTTGTAGCGTGCTGATGGTCTTGTGCCAAAAACAGGAATTGCCACCCATTGTTCATATTCCAATTGTGTAAACCAATCACCCACATCTACACCCATAATCTCCTCAGTTCCCATAGCAGAGTTTTTGGGCAACCTAAAACCAAACAGTGCCCGAAACCATGAGTAACTTCAAGCACAGATAAAACTTAAATAGTAAGTGGTCAGATGCAGATTAGCATCTCAAGCATATCAGCAATCTTTTGCTGCCATTGTTTCTCAAAGATCCACCCGAGAAGACCCAAGTGAAAAAGCATCAGGATTGAAAGACCATACAGACCAAAACCTCAAGGAAGCAAAAGATACTTCGTATAAGTAAACCACCAGGATCAAGAAATTCATTCAATTTTGAAGAGACAATTTCGAAACTGTTGTTTCCAGACCATATACGCGACAACCTATCTCAAAAGATCACTTCCGAACACTAAGGATGATAACCATCCATCAAAAACCAAATTCGAGACTATTAAACAATGCAAGAAACAGCTCATTGGACTTAGATCGTCCATTTCGGGCGGGGGGGAAATCTTCACTAGCAATACAATCACTGAGCAGATCCACTAAATTCCCGAAATCCACATCCATTCCCACCGTCCTTCCATTCAGACTCCGGCCGATCAGAACATAACCACACAATTCTAAACCAATTCCCACCACATTCCAATTTGCGGGTTCTAGCCTAACCAGGCAAACTCGAAATCAAATTGACAGCCCCCTCGGAATTGCCAACGAGAGGAAAGATTCAACACTCTTTTTACATCATCACCTAATCAGGGCGGATCACAGCAACCAGGTGATGAATGTACCTGAATCGGAGTCGGCGTGGAGGGGTAGGAGGGGAATCGGGATCTGAGAGTGGAGGGAGGATATTGAATCGGAGAGTGAGCGGGAAACGGAAATGACAGTGGTCCGGGCGCGACGGCTACAAAGGGCGGCGGCGATGGCGGTGGCGGTGGCGGTGGTAAGGAGGAAAAGCAGCCGCGGGAGGGTGGGAGAAATGACGCGTTGTTGAGATTATTGGGATCGGAAGGAGAAGAAGGAGGAGGATGGCATCCGGTGGCAGTTGCCAGGTCAGCACGTCATCTCGAATGCGTTTTTGATGGCCTGTACCGATACAGGTTTTTTTTTTTTTTTTTTGTGTCGGCGGTTCTGGTCCGTAGGGATGGCAATGGGTCGGGTCGGGGGCGGATAGTGCATATCCGTTACCCTACCCAATGTAGTTTGGGTTTTACCCATACCCGTACCCACACGAGAAACGGGTAGAAAATCAAAACCATGCCCATGCCCGTTCGGGTTTCGGGTATCCACGGTTATCCATGGGTAATAATTTCTCCTTATAATTCCAACCAATTTGTTAACTTTCACACATATATTCACATTACGTAAGAGGAAAAGTACGACAATTATTCACTAGAATGACAAAAATGAATTAAAACAACATAATTTTATGAAAATATTATATTTATATGCTAAATATAAAATATTCTAAGGAAAAATAATGAATATTTCTAGACAAAATACATATGCATGTGTATAATCGGGCGGGTTCGGGTTGGATAGTGAGATAACCATGCCCACCCATTACCCGCAATATTCGGGTTCGGGTTTTACCCGTACCCATGAAAAATGCTTCGGGTTCGGGTTTTACCCTACCCGATTAGGTCGGATTCGGGTGGATATCCACGGTTACGGATATTTTTGCCATCCCTACTGGTCCGTCGCTCAAAGTCAAGACTCAAAGACTTTTTGGGCCTACTTATTCTATGCTCAGCGTGTCAGCGTGACACATTTGGGCCGAGGCCTGAGACCATTGTATCACGTTTAGGGGTTGAAAGTAGGATTGGAAAATGGTGCGGTCTGGTCCAGACCATATATACGGTTTATTGTCCATAACGAGAGGTTGATGTATAGACCATAGACCAGACTACAGACTATACGGTCTGGTCAAGACCACGCCTATTCGGTCTGGTCCGGTCTGGTCTGCTCCAGATAAACCACACTCAATGAAAAATGAACAATTTGTTTAGTTAACCACACAAAAAAAAAAATTGAACCAATAACCAAGAAAAATAACTGTTTTTTGCCTTAAAACATTAATTCTAACATGCATGAATAATTTTGATACCCTAAATCTTAGTACATGACAAAGATACAAAGTAAAAGCATCTCAACTTGCACCATAAAATTCATAAACATCAACATAATGTAATATGAAGACACAAATTATCTCTACTCTCTGGTGAAATGTGGTTGTGAATGAAGGAGGGACGAGATTCTCAAAATTAAGGTTGAGACTTGGGTGTCATTGTGATAGTTGGGAGAGTGGTCGAATGGGCTATTAACACATATTGACAAGTCGATTAGGGTCCACGGTTTAGTCCGATAAACCTCGGTCTCGACCAGATCAGACCAAGAGATGAAAACATCAGATAATACAGACCATGGACCTGACCTGATCAGATCATACTTAACGGTCTACAGTCCGGACCAAACTGTACGGTCCAATCCTCCAAATAATATATAGAGGTTTCTGTGGAGAACCCATCCAATTGATTTTTTCCTAGCTTCTCCACATAGGAAGGGAGGATTCTTTGGTCATTTGGGCTTATAAATTAAAACCCTCAACCTATTAATTAAAAAATTAGGACGGGGACTCCCACTGAATGAATTAATGCTCCCTATTTAATTAATGTGTTATGTTATTTAAAGCTCCCTAATTTACTATACTTCAAAGAATTAGTGTTCGTAGATACATTTAATTTATATGATAACTGCCATATTATAGTGTTAAAGATACACGATTTTATGTTGTCGTAAATGAATTTGTATGTAGAGATATAAATACAAATTAAGTTTGTACCATAATATTAAAAGTACAAGTTGAATTTGTATTATAAAGAAATTTTTACGAAAATGTATAGACACAAACTAAATATTGTATTTTTTTAAATGGAACAATTGATAGTATGAAATATAGTGAAATTTCTCTATATATATTTATTAAAATTATAATTAGCAGCTATATTTAATTGTATCCATTTAGATAAAATAGCTTATTGTTACTTTATTAAAAAATTTAGGTGTATAGTTCAACGTGTGTAATCACTCCCTTATCGGTTTCTAATTAATCATATTTCATTTGTTCAAAATTTAGTTTATAAATTTTGACTGAAAATCAAACTGATATACTATAAAGAACTTTATTTATTTTGGGTGGCTTCTATGGTGCACTTACAAAAATGAGTGCATAATATACACCTAACTCTAAAAGTAGATATAAGCTATCGAATTTTATTTTAATTGGTGTCGATAGCCAAATACGATGATAACTTTCAATTTTGAAACCTAACCGTAAACTCTAAATTGTAAATCCTAACCCTAAATTTCAAAACCCGGAATCCTTCAAATCAAAGTAAATATTGAATAATTTTTGTGCAAATTCATATGTATTTTTGTCCATCATATCACAGTAATGATTGACATCAGTTTGACATGAATCACCTGCTGACAATGACGGTTATGAGGCGAGTGCATAGCATGTACCCAAAAAGTGACCGCATTGAAGACAAACCTTCATTTTTGACATATTTTGAAAGATATGTTAGTCTAGCATCCTATGTAGGGGTAGGTAACGATCCGGTTCGCACCAGACTAAATCGTACCAAATTGATATTTGGATCGAATCATATCGGATCAAATATATTTTGATTCGGTTTTGATCCTATGAATTATTTTAAGTATGAAGAAACATGGACCAAAATTGAATTTGGGATGGACTAAATCGAACAAAATAAACCAAACATGTTGCTGGTCCGGTTCTGGTCCTTATTTTTCCTTTGTTTTTGGTTTAGTTCTGTATCAATTCGATCAGGTTCTATACCGAATCGACCGATGTCCACCTCTAATCCCATGGCATCATGTACAGTAGCGTTCATGCACTATCAATTCTTCTATAATGGTACCATATCTATACGACAATTCCTAATTACATCCCCACCATCAATTTTTGGTTCTCGCCTTGCTGACTGGACTTTGACCAATCTCCCAATCTTCATAAAGTTAACTTAGAATGATCATGATACTCCCCACTTAATTTATTATATACAAATTGAGCAATAAAATCTGCATATTTATAAGGAAAAAAAAGCAACATATTTATTGGAGAGTACTCAATCCCTAAGTTTATTCATTAATTTTTCAATCTAAACAGTATCAATATTTGTGTTGGTTACTGGGTTGTTTATCAGCATGGAAAAGAATAAATATCATAAAATGTTCATGTGACGTAAATTCTACCGTGTGTAATGTTTAGTGTGAAGATAAAGGTTTCATAAAGAAAAACAAATGCATTGAAATTTGTAGATATGATGGTGCTTTAGAGGACGGAGCGATCACACGAAATCTAAAATGACATTTGCAATAATTTGTTAATTCGAATAGCAAATAGTTCGGTTTGATTATATTTTTAGGAGTAGATTTTCTTGCATGGTTTTGTATTTTACTTGCAATAAGGACTTTAGCAATAAATTGGTTTAGCATGTTCAAATATTATACAAGTATGATATTGTCTCCGGTTACTAAATGATTCGAAATTTTTATGGTATAAAATAAAACATTTCTTGCGTCGGATAATTTCTATGATTATTTATACTATTAACGAAATTCATCTGACCAACGGGCGGACTCAAATCTAATTTGCATTATGACTTTTCTAACGGTCTGATCTATTTTCCCGCTATAATTGAAAGACTCCATCGTTAACGACTTGAGGATTGAGGAACTACACTAAAACATTACACCTTTTTTTATGAAGGAGGCCACTAGTTCGAAGCATTCGCGCGTGATCGGACCTCTCAATGAAATACCAAATTATGGTGGTTCTTGTAAGGTCCCGCCAAATAAAGAAGTGACCGAATTACCTCAATTAACTGCGAAACAAATAAGAACATAAATATTGAAGCTTTGATGAATGCCACTATCATAACTCTTCCTTTATGAAGAAATATACTCCCATGTACAGTAGAAATCGACACGGTATCGATATACTAATATCAAATATTGAAATTTCGAATACCGAATTACACCCTAAAGTTAATTTCAATCTCAATCCCTAAATAACTTTGGTATTCCAATCTCAAACCCTAAATATTTCGGTATCCTAATCGGTACTTCGATATCCCAATCGGTATTATCGAATAAGAAATTAATTACCTTTACAATTAATAATTAAATATATAAGTTATATTTGATTGTTTAATATAGGACAAAGAGACTAAGCAAAGAGTTTTGAGTTTGGAGTTTGGAGTTTGGCTAGTGCTATGATATGGATAAGAAGAATGGAGGAGAGGTGATATCTCAAGTTTTTGTCATTGGTAATCTTTAATTTGACGAATTGGAGGCCGAGAGAAGACTAATACTAGTGTTTGCTTTTTTGTGTTACAAAATTAACAAGAGATTGGTGGTTGAGGGTCGTGTAGTAGTGAATGTGAGAGACTAGTTGAGAGGATAAAATACACACTAGATTATATTTCGGTATATATCGATCCCAATCTCGTAACCCCTAATACCGAATAACAATTGAAATTGAATCCCAATCTCAATCCCAAAAAATAATATGTGTATTTGGTAATACCAAATATAAAAAAATTCGGTACGATATTCGGTATATCCCAAATACCGTACCAAACTTCCAGCCCTACTCCAGGGATAATAACATGTGGAAGAGAAGTCAAAAGCTACTTATAACTGAAAGCTGCAAATCTCAATTGCATCCCCACCTCTCCCTGTTAGTAAACGGTATTTGATTTGTTATTGAATCTCTCCCAATAATTTAAGTTATTGAAACCAATTGGTTCTTGACAACCACTTTATACCGTGGAGAAGAAGATCCCTCCCAAGTAGAAGACCATGCCCTTCCTCCCTATGAAATATATATTCAAATTAAAGACATCAAAGCCGCGAGTTTCTTCTTCTTTTTTTTTTTCCTCACAAAAGGATGAAACGACATCTTCAAGTTAATTTCTATGAGAATGTAGAATCAAATATTAGACAACTTCCTTCGACAAGTTGAACACACCAGCCACACGAGTCACGAGCTACAACTTTATGGGGTGACCCTTGAAACTCGGGTGCACATTGAAACTCAAACGCTGATGAGTTTCAATGTGCACCCGAGTTTCAAGGGCCACCCATGTGAAATTGTGAATGATATTCCATAACTAAGTACTGGTAGTGTTTTGAGTACTCGATTGGTCAACTTGTGCACCTAGCTAGCTTAGAATTTCCGTTCTGCAGAATGAAGGTGGGAAGCAGGCCAAGATGGAGGGCAAAATGATAATGTCCTGTCCAGTCTCCATAGCCTAAAGTGCATCAGTCAATCTATAAGCTATAGTGCATAATACATTTGAGTATGGAAACCTGAAAGTGAAAAGACCAGACCCAGTATTCCACTAAGGGATATGGGGACACTGCAATTTTGGTTGGTGAGCCATCTGAATCTGAGCTGGTAAGAGTAAGTTTGCCATAATCAGACACTTTTCTCATCATCCTTAATCTTCAAAATGTGTATAAGAACCTCTTTGGAAGTTGTTTTGATTTTGTTTCCTGCTGATAATGGTGGATTTTGATGGTCACAGCTCGAGCTTTCTGAACATGTTCCATTACCATTAGCTTTTTTCTGCAGAAAAGGAATAATTCACATAGCAAGACACATAAACCCTGCTTCTAAACCCTAAAATGATCAGTGTAAAGAGGCAGGTGGAAGCTGCAGAGTGCAGAGTGGATTAACAGTGGGATTAATGAATTCATGCTCTAATCCTTCATCTATTCTGTAAACCAACGAATCATCCTTGGCCGAAAGCCATAAAAAAAATGGTCCACAGAAACCAGCCCCACCACCACTCCACCAGAACCCACTAAGCCAACGAAATGTACTGCAATGCAACTAAAGCCTTAAAAGTCACTTTTAAGTCTCTCAACAGTGACTTGATCAAGATTCAGACCAGCCTTCCTTCCCCTCCACTATCTCGATGAACCATTAACAACAATGCCTATAAATACCCTGCAGGCCTGCCCTTGGTTTCACAAAACCGCATCTCTCTCTCTCTCGAATACACCTCAAGTAGTTGATCGATCATCAATTGCGGTTTTTTACTAGCTTGATAGCTGCGTGCGAGATAAAATGGCAGGTTCGTTGATGAGAAATCAGCAGGTAATTGGTGCTGCCTTCCTTGTCCTGCTCCTTGTCGACGTTGCCTTTGCTGCCAGGACCCTCGGCGGAAAAGGACGCGGTGGTGGTGGCGGCGGCGGACGTGGTGGTGGTGGGAAGGCTGGAGTTGGGTCGGGTTCGGGGCACGGGTCCGGGCATGGGAATGCAGGGGGAGGTGGTGGAGGAGGCGGCGGAGGGCGCGGTGGCGGTGGCTCCATGTCGGGTCATGGGTCAGGGTCCGGGAGCGGGTCGGGTCATGGGTATGGGTCTGGGGCTGGGAAAGGGGGCGGGGGAGGTGGTGGCGGCGGCGGTGGTGGCAGAGGGGGAGGAGGCGGTGGCAATGGCGGGTTTGGGTCGGGTTACGGGAGTGGAAGTGGGTACGGTGGCGGAAGCGGGAAAGGCGGCGGTGGTGGTGGAGGCGGAGGCGGCGGTGGAGGTGGCGGAGGAGGAGGGGGAAGGAATGGTGGATCCGGGTATGGTAGCGGGTCAGGGAAAGGTTACGGGTCTGGATATGGAGGAGGAGATTATGACAACTACCCATGAATTCAAATTAATTACAGATTTAATGGTAAATCGACATTTGACTTGGTTTCATGTGAGGATTATCACTACCACGCTACCTATAGAGTGTCGGATGATAAACTTACAACCGACGATATTCGATTTGATCATCGTTATACTATGCGATTCTTTTTCGTTGTCATTACCCTTCTCAATTACGAAAAAATACAACAACAACAAAAATTTGTCCTAAGAGTGTCAAACCGTTGACCTTGAGTTCACAAATTCAAGTTAGCACCCTTACCACTGTATTAAGTTTGACCTTTATAATTTTTGCCATAATAATAAATTAAGTTGGAATATACAATGTGATTCTTATTTTCTCTACAAGTTGCACAATTTTTTTTTTTTCATGTTACATGTATGATAATATCGGTTAGGTTCATGCCTTCATGGTTTTTATTGTGTAAAGGGTTGATGTTCTGTCATGAATTTTGTCCAAGTAAAAAATGTACATTAGGGCTCTCATATCAAAATGAAACAAAAAAAATTCATTGTTGGTTCAAAAAAAAATAGTTTTATTTAGAATTTAGATCATGTATATATTTGTATCTCATATTTTTGTTCTAGAATATTTAAAAAAAAAAATCAATCGGAATATTTGGGTTTGGAAAAAGTTTCGATTCGCTGACCCTTGGGCTGGGTTTCGGTGGCCCATTGTCGCTTGCCAGCCCATTTTGAAGCGGATAATAATCCACGCGACCATGACCCAAATTCTGTTGCCTTATTGATCTCTTTGACAAAATAAATGGCACAAGTGCTTTCCTTTTTCTGATTGTTAAAAAAATGGCATAAGATTTGTTGATTGGTTCTCAAATCTCAACGCCAACTCCAGCGCCCGACTTCTCAACCGAAGGCCAAAGCCGAAGTCTTTTTCTGGATTCTCGACCCGAACCGCACGCAGCGGCCGCAGTACGTCACCCGGGGGAAACTTGTTGGCCTGTTTTGTTTGCCCTTTTCCGGGAGGTGTTGGTGGCGTGAGAATTGCCATTCCTGAAAGGCTTCCATTTTAGGAGATCTCAGGCATCGCGCCACCATAGGGCATAGGGCCACCGCTTCACTTTTTGTCTGCGGAGTGGCTCCGGTTTTGGGTTCTTCATCTCCTTCCGCTCTCTCTCAGTTCCATGATTCATAGGTAAGTTTTGCTGTCGATTGCTGATTGCGGCTACTGCTGCTGTTGATTCTGCTTTGACTTCCGGCTTCGAGTTAGTTTTGGGGGGGTTTTAGTGGCTGGTGGGCCGCATTTGAGTTCTGGGTTTCGGTACGATTCTGAATTCTGGTCGGTTTCGAATTGGGGAATTAGGTTTTTTTTTCTTCTGTAACTGATTGTGGGTTTTCTTGAGTGCGTTGTGCTGGGAGTTGAAATGAACTGTTGCTGTCGTTTACGTGGTGAGTTCTACTTCTAGGGCAAGCCATGATGTGGAATTTTGTAACGGGGCTTGGTAAGGGAGGAGCGACGAATTATTGAAATAGGTGTTCCTGTGGAGATTGCGTTAAGATTTTCTGTTTTAGCTTGCAGAACTTGCCGGGCTTCGAATGCACAATTGTTTTCCTTTGCGTATTGGGAGGTGCTCTCTGCTTTGTCTACCTATCTACAGCTGCTTCCTGAAGTTGTAAAGTTTCAATCTCGACGTATAAGTTTGCTTATGGGTGTTGTAGGAATTCGTATCTATAATTTGTTCCCTTCCTCAATTTTGATTCTTTGTTGAGCTAGTGAGGAAGTTTTCCATTTTTTTAGCCTTTTGAGGTGTTAGTAACCAGGCGAAGCATATGCATAAGTGATACTTTCCCTTTGTGCATCATCTGTTTGATACTCCAAAGTTCTTGGTAGGAGGTTTTTCCGCCGGCGCTGAAGTTTTATCTCGATTGTCAATTATTATGTCGCTGTGAGCAGCCTAGATTGATCGAATGGTGTGAACTTGGTGCAGGAATCTGAGATGAAATGAGAGGAGAGGGACTGTCTAGGGATTGTTCTCAGTCCAGACCTTGCTCCGGAAAGAAAACATTACGAGCCTGCAAGATGAAGGACAAGATTGATAATGTTGTGGTGATTGATATAGACAGTGATGGATATGATGATGTGAGTAGCTTTGATGTTCCCAAAAAGCAAAAGAAAGTCAGTGATATTCCTAGGCTTTTCCAGCAAAAACGAAGACCTTCTCATGTGCTTAGGGAAGGAAATAGAGTGTCTTTTGAGGGGGCGATAAGCATTGATGATGACGATGACGATGACGACAGGGACGACGAGGATGATAATAACTTAAATTTTAGAAGTCGTAAGGTGGATCCATCTGGAGTTCGTGGTAACCGTAATAAGAATGTGAGGGTTGATGGCATGCCGAGTAGTTCCACTTTTGGCAACACACACAAGTTCACAGTTGATGCTGATGATGATTGTGAGTTCATTTGGTGCAGAAGATCAACTGACTACCGTCCTAAACACAATAAACCCCACACTGATGAATCTACTTCTAGGAATCGTTTTGGCTACTATTCTGATTCCGAGAGTGGTTCATCTGAAAGTGACTCTTCTGATTGTGAAATTTTGGATGGTTCTCATGGAAACCCTTGGGAACAGTGGGAAAAAGCTTCTAAGAGGCAGAAATCTAATATTAGTAAGGATCAATCTGGTGCACAGGATACAGAGGCTTGCTACAACTACTCTACTGACACTCGCCAAAATGCTGATTTAGGAAATAGCAGTAGACAAACTTCTTTGGATGAGGACCAAGAAACTGGTAGAGAACATACTTCTGCATGTTCTACACCGGGTTTTCCTGCACCTGACCAGGATAACCAGAAGTTTCAGGATAAAGATCGTTCTTCTTGCGAGGATGGAGTTTTAGGAAATGTTGATAATCTTGGTAAATCTTCTGTTCATAAAAGTCAAGAAAGCCCACACAAGGCTGCATGTAGTAATGGTATTGCTTCCAAAGGTGTAGAAGAACTTGCCCCGGTTGAGAACTATGCTCAATCATCTGATGAAATATCTGAGAAATCTGGTCACCAAGATATGGAGATGCCACATGCTGAAGAAGTTCCCCGCAGAGATCAGCTTCACACAACAGAGAACAAGCCAGAGACATCAGGATCAGAGGAAGTAGAGAAGACATTCGCTGAGCCTGTCTCAGAATTTCAACAATGTGGTGAAACCAACCAATTATTTGCTTCACCTGTGGATGCTTTTCTTTCTCAAGGAAACATAATTAATGATAGAGAAAAGCTGAAGGAGACCGAGGAATACAAGCGAGCGACTGAAGAGGAATGGGAAGCGAGGCATCAGCAACTAAGAATTCAGGTATGGTATATAAATTGTTGATGTTCTTTAATTGTTGCTGCCATTATTTCATCTGCAAAATAATCAAATTGGCTGGCGTGGTGCGCTAAATTCATCGTTTACTTTTTGGTTATTGTCAACACAAGCATTTGATTAAGCTCTTATTTTAAGCAATTCAACCTGCCTAGGGGGGTATCTATCTGTGGTAGTTGACACCTTAGTTATGCAGGCTGAAGAGGCACATAGATTACGTAAGAGGAAAAAGGCTGAAGCGTTGCGCATTTCAGACATGGAGAGAAGGCAGAAGGAGCGGCTGGAAGAAATGAGAAAGACGCAGAAGAAGGTATATCTCTAACTAATATGCATACTAATTTGTTCAGGAAAGTTATATGCTAAGATATTGTAGTGATGGATTTACTTGGCTCTGACTGATGCCAAAATCAGGATGAAGAAAACTTGAACATGAAAGAGAGACTCCGTGTTCAAATGAGGAAGGATCTTTCACTGTTGGAAAGTCGATGCTTTGATTTGGCATCAGTGCTTCGTGGTCTAGGGATCGATGTGGGTAGTGGCTTCTTTCCACCTACGTCACGTGAGGTGAGTTCCATTTCTGCAATGCGTTTATTATTTGGAATTTGCCTATAGTGGACTATATTTGAGATGACTAAAACCTGGGGATTCTTTTCTTAATGATCCATACAGCGATTGTGTCAAGGGGATGAGTGTTCTGTAGTGTCTATTAACTTGTGCATATCTCATATAGAGTCTGAAGTGCCTTTTTAGGGAAGGAAATGTGGATCTAGGATTGCCTAGTTCTGAATGTGCACATGGTCCACAATTTTTGGAAGGGATCTACTCTACTGCTTCACTTCAGATGTATTAAAATTGAACTTATTCCATACATGGACACTTTTGATCTTTGCTGATATAATTTCAGGTGCATGCCGCTTACAAACGAGCATTGCTGAAGTTCCATCCCGATCGAGCTTCGAGAACTGACATTCGTCAACAGGTCGAGGCCGAGGAGAAGTTTAAACTTATTTCCCGCATGAAGGAGAAATTTTTGCCCGCTTCACTCTGTTGATATGAACGACGTGGAGTTTACTCTTATTTCTTGCTAGGAGATTGTTTGGCCATGTTAAGATGCCCATTTGCCAGTGGATTACTTCCAGTGACGCTTATTACGACAGCTTGTCTCGGCAAGACGATCCGTACAGACAAGGTTTCATATTGGTGAAGCTGTTTCAGTTATAGATAGGTAGGGAGGTTCCTTTCCATTTTAACATTGGTGTATAGACGCACTTGGAAGAGTTGAACAGAATACAGTTGCCTCATTTCTCGACGCATAAGTTTAGCTTCTGTTCAGGCATCAAATGGTCGATAGTAAATGACCTAGTTTCGGATGAGATTTTTTCGAGCCTATGACGTGCTGTTGATGAATAGCTTAGTTCATTTGGATCCCTAACTTCGATCTCCTTGCACGCGACGCTAGTGTGCCCATATAATCTCTGCAGTTCAGTGATTTGCCTCCGAGCTTCGACATGCACGTTAGTCATAGGCCGTCAGGCATCCATAGATTTATCAGTGGGAATGCATATCACGATACTTGTAAATGGCCATCCAAAGCAAAAATAGGCAAAGAGATGCAGGTATACATATGTAATTTAGCAACTATATCAAATAAGCTACTGCTGAATATACAGTCTGAAGCTACTTTCAACCTGAACATAATCCGACTTCCCTTTGCTTCCCACCCAAGAAACTCCAAATTCTTCCTTAGCTCCCAGAAATTTAAATCTATCGACCGTGCCTAAAGGAAAACTTTCATGCCCTCTCTCCCTCCCTAAAACAAATAAACACCAAGTACCTTTTATGCTCCTGAGATCTGCCGACCGATATCCATTAGACACTCATCTACTCATGATCATCTCTTAACAAGACATGTAAACCAGACTCCCGAGTCTCCCAATTATAACAACAGACGAAATTGCAAAGGTTTCTGTCCCAACGAATTTAAGGAACTAACGAGATTAAGCGAACGAACAAAATCCGCAACCACCAACTGCACTGGAATGAAGCACCCAGATCTCAAAGCTGATCGGTTCCTCTCTCCGAAGCATAAGACACCTTCTGAGTTATCATGCTCTCAGCTGCACGGACAGCTCTCTGCGTCCCTGTGATTGTTACTTTCCTGCCAAACAACAGCATGGCCATGACAGAAATATAAGTTTCCAAGTTGCAGCGATTTGGGCAGTAGGAGAGCTAAGAGTTGGCCGGGATTCGTACCTGTCATTTGTCCCGGTTATAAAATCACCCCTGTCTGATATTTTTATCTTAGCCCCGCTGACCTGTGAAAAAACAATAAAAACCAGCAGGGAGAACTTTAGTGCCCCGAGAACAATTCACTTTCACTTATTCATTAAAACGGGTCGTCTAGTCATTCAACACGAAAGAAGGAGTCTCAAGAATCCACTTAACCTGGCTGATTTCCAGTATGTTCCTTCCACCGCGACCAACAACCAACCCGATGTGCTCATCAGCCACACCAATTGTAACCGAGTTGGTACGCTCTTCCTGGAAAACAGTATTAGTACACGTTCACATTGTATCAGATATAAATAATCTATCCATCATTATTATCATGGTAAGATCGTCTTGTGTAGAACAAAGATGATCTGGCAAAAAGGAACCTTGTTATTCTGGAACTTTCCTCCACCACCATTTTGTCCAGCATAATTCACCACATTGTACGCTGTTGTTGCTACATAAGGAGCCACATATACAGATAGAAGACCATAAAAACCACAGTAAGTTAGCACACAAAACGTGAACTGAGCTAAAGATAAACATAAAAACAAAAAAAGCCGCATCGGGGAGATTGTCGACTGCAGTTCATAGTATAAGTAGAGGTTTTGTGTGAAAAAATTATTATAATGCGATTATGAAATGAATCAGTGGTCCAAGAATTTGTCGACTCTTTTAGGGTATATGAAGCTCTGGAAATACGAGGGCTGTGCAAAATGACAAAGATGGGCCCAAAACCTTTTGAAGTTTAGAACAGAATTGCCTAAGAATAGAGAAAGAGATGTAAGAAAATATTAAGTAGCGTGAATTCTCATTATTTAAAAATAAAATTTGAAAAAGTTGAATTCGGATGTTCTTTTATGGAGAAGTGGATTACTAGATCAACTAAAGCCTAAAGGCACAAGTATTTCCAACCAATTTAAACCAACTGGAGATACTAATGGAATTTTTTTTTGACACCAGTGAGAAACAAGGGACAAGAAAGAAGAATATACAGCAGGGACGAAAGAAAGGCCGGAAAAAGTTACTTCATCTAATATCTGCAGTACAAGCTTAGAACCTCTGAAAACAGTCCAGGACCAAGCAAGAGCATTGGCTTGGCATAAAAGTTCGATCAAGAGTAACAGCACACACAATCTTTCCTCAATCAAGCAATAAAAGAAGGAAAGACTCGGAGAGAGAATTCAGGATAATACAAAGATGATTACATACCTACATACGACAATGGGGTATGCATGCTCTGTGAGTAGTGAGGATCTTCAACTAGCTTTGACAAAATGAGATCAGCTGCACGCATCTGCTCATCCAAAGTACCTGTTAATGTCACCAGCCTATCATTCAATCCATAAAAGTTATGGTCCAGTGGAGATATCTTAATGCCAGCTTGGGAGTCTTCAATGAATGACCTAAAAAGAAGTGAACAATCATCAGTTTTTCCATTCTTCGCCTCCTGAGTTACAGGCTGATCGCTTGACGCTACGAATTTTATAGGATTTGAGAATTTTTTTTATGGATTTCTAGAAAAATCAGCTTGTAACCAGCATAATAGAAACATGGCTGAGAAAGTTTCAAACGCAAGTCATCTTGCCGTGACATGGTAGGTAGAAAACAGCGACTCTGTTCTGTAGATGTGTCAAAAGCATATATAGATAAAAGAGTCAAATACACTGCAAACATGAACAGAAAAGAAATGCTTACAGAGAGATATATCTCTCGAGAAGCATTCCACTACAGATTCAAACACATCATGAAAATTTAGGGCTGCAAATGAGCCAAGCCGCTCGCGAGCAACTCGGCGTTCAAATCGGAAAAAACTCGTTCGACACTCGACTCGTTATTTAACAAGCCGGCTCGCGAGCCAATTCGTTAGTTAACGAGCCAAGCCTGAGCTAGACCATGCTCAACTTGATAAGCTCGCGAGCTAGCTTGATTCGGTGGCTTGTCGAGCTAAGCTCGCGAGCTGCCTTGTTTTGAGCTTGTGGAAGGATGAATTACTCTTTTAAACATGAACATTGTCTTCTAATACAGATGTGTATGAAATTTAGATGTTATTTATAGTTTCTAGTGTTCTTTCTATCATTTAAATTCTTATGTTTATACATTTTTCCAGCAAAAATGATTTTTAATCGAGCCCATCTTGAGCCGAGCTTGTACTCAGCTTGACTAGCTATGTTAATGAGCATTTATCGAGCTCTACCGAGTCGAGCTCGAGCTAGATTATTTTTATTCAAGCCGAGCTCGAGCTCGAGCTGGATTATCAAAATTCGAGTTCGAGCCGAGCTCGAGCTGAAAAATTAATAAACGAGCCGAGCTCAAGCTAAGCAAAAACTTGACTCGACTCGGCTCGTTTGCAGCCCTTGATGAAATGCAAGCTTTGCAAATCAAAGTACCAATGATAACTAGTGATGAAGGACAGAGAAGAACAAACTTCCTCAACCACTGGAATAAAAACAGAAACAGGCGAATATCACGACAGGATAGAAGAAAATTTTATTGGCATGCTAATCCTCACCACTAGTACCAAATTTTAGAAAATTGCTCGAAGATGGATCTAGTCTAAATCTACATAAGTATATGCTACAGTCAACAAAAGATGTACATCACAAAAGAAAAAGCAGTTCATACTTGATGATAGCTCCTCCTTTCCCAATAATGCTGCCACAAGAGCCATTTGGGACAATAAGCCTCAGTTTCATACGTGGTTCAGCATCAGCACCATCTTCAGTATTAAGCTGAGTAGAGAAAGATAAACACAAAAGTTTAATTAGAAAGCACAAAGCACATGTGACCAACCTTATGAACTTTCTTGTTAGCGGGAGAGGAAGCATTACCTCACTTAGCAATTTATTAAGAACAAGTTCCACAGCCCTTAAAATCTCATCAATGTTTCCAGAAATCATAATTATTCTATCAGATGTCCCTGGGAAAAATTCATAGTTGCGTGATAACTGGATCCTTGCTCCCGATTCAGACTGGAATTCTGTAATTGTAGCACCACCCTTCCCAATCACTGAACCAGCTGCAGCATTTGACACCAGAAATCTAATATATGCTGCCTTCTCCATGGTATCTGCCACGAAAACACATTAGCCCAGGCAAGCCAATCCTGTTATATCTTCCATCAGCAATTCAATACAGATATTAAATGAAAAGTAAAAGACAAGTGCCACGAATTTCTGCAACTAAGTGGCATTAATAATATGTCCAGGGTTGGTTTATTAGAGAACATAGGGAAGATAAAGGTGATTTCCCAGATTGTAGCTGGAAATTCAGGTAGAGATTTAAGGGCTGGCTCTCCATTCCAGCACCAAGACTTCACTTGAGAAACCACTAAGAAGGGTTTGAAAATCCACTCAAAGAAACAAGTCAAAACACTCGATAGTTCACTTTATTCAAATCTCTGCTTAGAAAGCAAGAAAACTAATCCCTTATTGGTATCAAGTCCTACCGACAGGTAATAAAGACTCCTTCCTGTCTAGACAAGGAAAGTAGAGACATTAATCATTAAGGATTCCAATTTAAACAAGGAAACAAGAAACCAATTGCTAATATAAACTAAAGCAGCGTGTATCAGACCAATCACTGAGAAGCACATTAGCAAAGGTAACACCAATCTAGAGTCATATTTTACATCAGCGCATCAATTCATAACAGATGCCAACAGAATTTACACAAGTGAATATCGAGGAGAATATTAAACATCTAGAGCATACGTGCCCTCCATGTCTAGCATGCCAAGTAAGTTCAATCCATCACGGGACATACAGATTATTCCGAGACTAACCCCTTGTACACCGTTACGGTGACAACATAGGGGGGAAACACCTCATACTCAAAATTCCAATGGGACTGAATTATTGCATGATGCAGAAACAAAAACCAGCTAATTAAGCCCGAGAAACACCCAAAATCCAGCAGATAGTTGTTTAGAGTGAACACTAGCCACTAAAATGCATTACAAAACAAGCCGAAGTTCTAAAAATACATTCATGGAGAACACTCGAACAGCACCATTGGAGAAACCAGCAAGTTCGCAGAAGATAATGCTAGAGTGTGAAGAACAGTATTCAATGCTAATTGAAGTGAGAAACAGTTGCCTAAACTGATGCATTGAGTAAATCCTCCCTTTCCACGGACAAAACAGTCTCATTACACTCCACATTTCACCCTCATTTCTCTTCAAGAAAACGAACAGGGCTAAAAATGCGACCCCAATTAAAACTATCTGGCCTCCCAAGTTGTAGCTGTAACCCTAGGGTTAAGGTCGGAGTCCGAACGGACGAAATTCAACACAGAAACGACGCAGGAAGGTATATCCTCCATAACACAAAACAGACAACTCAAGAGAGAGCGAGAGGGCGAGAGAGCAGATCAGATCAGGAACCTGAAGTGGGAGATTTGGGCGGCGGAGGAGATTTCTTCCCCGGAGCCTCCGGCGAGGACACGTAAGAGGACTCGGTCGATTCCATTTCCTTCTTCTCCTTGCTCACGCTCTCCACCTACGCACACAGAAACACGAGGGTGTCAACCGCAAAAAAAAGAGAACAATATACTGAAAGGAAATCGAGCAATCTCAGCATTTGCATTTGGCAGAGGCCATGCTCGTGAAGTCGCACACTGCTCGCCAGTGTAAATTAGTAAATACACTCACTGTTGCGGTGAGGAGGCGGCGTGACGGTTGCGGAGTGGAGGTAGAGTGACGGCGGAAGCGGTGGTGGAAGACGGTGAACTTGCCTCGGCGTTGCTTGCGGAATTGGCGAGTTGGCGACTTGGCTTGGCTTGCTGGGAATCTATCTGCCTCTCCTCTCTCTCATAAATCCTTCTTCTTCTTCCACTCCATGGCTGGTTTGGGTTGGGTTTTGGATTTGTTTTGAGAAGCTCTTAGGGCCTGTTTGTTTCAGCGTAAAGACCGCCTCTTTCTCTGTCCACTTTATTTTTTAATATTCCATTTTTATCCGTTTTAATAATTTTCCAACTTGCATTTCCCACTAGCTATTTTTTTTTTCCCACGGGTAAATCGCAAGGTTGGTCACTGGAAGTGCTAAAATATTCACATTTGGTCACTAAAACAATTTTATTCCATTCATAGTCACTAAAAGTGGTTAACGTTTCACGATTGGTCACTCTCCGTGAGTTTTAATTAACACCATTAGTGATTTGCTGACGTGGCAACTAGAAATGCTGATTCATCCAATTTTGACCTGCCACATCACAAAACCGGACATGCCACGTCAGTTTTACCCGCCACGTCAGATTACCCAACCTAACCCATGACCCAACCCTCCTTATTGACCCGCCCGACCTAAAACTCGATTGGCCCAAATGAAAACCCCATTCCGACCCACCCTCTTAGTCCCTTCTTCTTGGCCGCCATCGACCTCTAATCCCCGTCGTCGCCATCAACCATCGCAAAGGGATTCAACAACACCATCGTCAACCAATCTCTGACAGGCCTTCAAGAGTAGCAGCCCGATGTGTATTCCGCTCAACGTCACCAAAGGGGGGGAACTATACAGCCGTGAATGTTGAGTTTTGTAGCATTGGAGATCTAGAAACCCCATCGACGGTGACTAAAAGGAAGGGAAGAAGGAGCTTCAATCTTGCGATTCCAAATCCCAGCCGAGGGGAGCACCCAGCTTTGATTGCCGATGCTTCTAGTGTTCAGCTCTTCCTCAAAGCCAGTCGCCCTTGCCTCCTATCATATTTACTCTCAAACTCAGGTACTCCCAAAACACGACGGAACCCCAAAACGATGCACTCCCAAACACGGCTGCGTTGCTGCTTCTATTCGGGAACACAGAGGTTGGCCACCACCCTTGGATTTGGGCCCCGACTGTCTCTATAGTTAGTTTCACTCGCCGAGTCTGAAGTCGACGGGGCAAAGAGGCTATTCTTCCCGGTCTAGCTTGACCAGAGAAGGCAGCGAGATATTCTCGGAGGTCCAATCGGCGCCAGCGTGGTGCCGGATTGGAGTGCGAAGGTGAAGTTATCAATGGTGGAGAGACGGAGACGATAGCAACAACACTTTCTGGGATAGACGGATGACAATTTCTCCTTGCCTCGGGGGTCTCGTCTTGAGAAGATGATGAGCAGCGCCGGAGGGAGGTCTAGCGACGATGAGGAAGATTTCCTGGAAGGATGCTTGGGCGACAGAGGGCGGTAGGCGACGGCGAGGAGGAGGCGTGGCGCAAATAGAGGAAGAAGAAGAGGGGAAAGGTTGAGAAGAGATGGGGGAGATCAAGGGATGTGGAGAGATTTGGGTTCCTTCAATTCTTTGTGGTCAGGTCACGGGTTAAATTGGGTTGAGTTATGCTCTGACAGTGTGTTGGGTATTATGATGTGGCAAGTCAAGTTTTATGACATAGCAGGTCAAAATTGGATGAATCAGCATTTTTGGTTGCCACGTCAGCAAACAACTAACGGTGTTGATGGAAACTAACGGAGAGTGACCAATCGTGAAACGTTAACCACTTTTAGTGACCACGAATGGAATAAAATTCTTTCAGTGACCAAACGTAAATATTTTAGCACTTTCTGTGACCAACCTTGCAATTTACCCTTTTTCCCACCCCTATGAAAAGTGTTATTTATTAACAGTTAGTTAAGTCTCGGTTTAGTAGGTTAGCGATGTAATTGATAATCGAATCATAACTGATGACTAGAGGTTACATTGATAATCCATTGAATAGTCAACACTCGTTTTTGGTAGCCAAATTTAGCTAATTACTAACCGAGGGTTAAATGATTGACCGACTAACCAATTACGACCATCATCATAGTTAGTACCGAAAAATAATAGGCTTCGATGAGTCACAGAAGTAGACCACATATAATGAGATGTTTGAAGGCCTACAAGATTTCTTGTCTATCCTAGTTGTAATAGCGACTTATGTTCAAATGATAATTATTTCAAGGAAGGTTTATAGAATAAGAAAAGTAGAAAGTTGGAATTGCGCACAGAAGCTCGACAACTATCAGTAACATTTAAGTTTCCATGTAAATTGGTGGGATTTATAAGTTGAGTATTTGTTGTCGGGTCTCTTATTCTTGTATGCTTCTTTAATCGAATTTGACATAGAATGGAGTTATTGTCTAATTGTGTTGGATTGAGTTGATTATGGACTGATATTTATGTTAAATTATCTTTTATTCAACCAGTAACCTTGACAAGTCAATTGTTTAACAGTTATTCGGCTAGCCGAATGTATGGTTACAGTTAATCGACTAATATAAAGTTTATAAACTGTGCGGTTAACGATAAGTACAAAATGTTTAACGATTAATTGAGAACCAACTAAACAACTTTTGTTATAACATAATCGATTACCAATCAGAGCACAAATATAATCCATATGAAGATAGACAATCACTTTAAATAATGTCATATGTGTTCTACATGCATTAGAGCAGATGTGACACTCATTGCATGTGTACCCTATGATGCCTTTGAACTCTTTGCATGTGTGTTTGTGATCGTATTTTTCATCCTTTCCGAGGCAAGCAATCCTTACATAGCAAATTTCATATCACCCTAGCTGCAAAGCTTCGAAAATCTATCATTTATGCTTTGCGGATGACATCCTAATTTTCATCAATGGGTCTATTAGGATGATTAATGGGATTAGAAGGCTGTTGGACAGATTTTGCACTGATTCCGGACATAAATGTAATATAGAAAAGTGTCAGTTTTTTTATGGGATCCTAGAAAATGAGAAGATGATGATTTCAACGGTTACTCGTTGCATGTTCGTTACTTTGGGGTACCTCTCATCACGGGTAAGCTTTCTTCTGATGATTGCAAATTTGTTGTTGATAAAATTGCAGCAAGATTCAGAACATGGCAGGCCAGGATGTTGAGTTATGTGGGTGGGTTGCAACTTATTTCTAATGTAATTACTAGTACCATGCAATACTAGATGACCCTTTTTTGTTGCCAACGAAGATACTTGGAGAAGTGGAGCAGATTTGCGATAGATTTCTGTGGGGTGTGGGAGGCTTAGAGAAGAGGGAGAGAGCACAAATCTCGTGGGAAAAGGTTGTTATACCAAAAGTAGAAGGTGGTTTGGGTTTCGGGATTTCAAAACCCATAACCACGCTTATGTTATATATAATATTTATAATCTTTTGGTAGAGGCATGCTCCTTGTGGGTGGCGCGGACCAAGAAATACAAAGTGAAAAATTAATCCACATGAAGCTTGTCTGTGCCGTCGTTAGGATCTTGGATTTGGCGTCGGGTTCTTAAATGCCAAGAGATTGTTGAGCCACATGCCCACATCTATATGGTAATGGAGCTTCATTGGCATGGGATGGTAAAACTCTATCTTGCTTCTCTATAAAAACTGTGTGGCATTCTATTAGAGTCCTCTCTGCTAGGCTGATTGGAGTGTTGATGTACGGGAGAAGCCTACTATTCCCAAACACAGTATTATTGAATGGTTGATTGTCCTTGATATAGTCACAACAAAGGATAAATTGACTTATTGGGGGTAGGCATTGATAAAGCTTGCATGCTATGTCCAAGTGGTGAGGATTTGAGAGATCATATTTTTGCTTCGTGTTCTTATAGTCGATTTGCGATTACATATGTTTTGAGGAAAATTTATTCAGTTCGAGAAGTGTTGCATTGGTCAGACCATCTCCATTGGGTTGTACATTGAGCTATCTTTGGAGGGAGAGGTGCACCATAATATATGGCATCGAGTCCATTTGCACGCCTGAGCAGATTGTTAGGAAAGTTAACGATAAGGTTTACATGTTTGCCCATAACAACCAGATGATTTAGAGTATAGTACAACTATATACAATATAGGTTCCTTTTTGTTTCCTTTTCTGATGTATCAGTATATTGATAGGTCTGGACGTTGTGTTTTGAGAGAGACCTTTGCAGGTTGCACCTCTAGAGCTTAACACCATTTTTTATTAACCATAAAAAACTAGAGTATCTAATAGCTAATTTATACACGATAAGCTAAATCCAACTCACAACTGGTAGACTTATCTAACACTAACTAGTACTAAGCTCAATTAAGCTCACTGACACTTATGAGCTCAAGTCACTAAGACTTGACTCAAAGCAAATTCAAGCTGCTTAATGGAGATCAATGACACTATATGGAACTAGGTAGAAATATTCAAGTGATTCGACGAGAATGATTTCTTAAGCAATGCATCATGTCATATTGTGGTTCATCAACCATCCATGTTAAACACATGTGTGACAAGTGAAGCTATAAGACAAAACACGTGGACCAATGAAGTGACCACACTTGCCATTGAGTATGGATGATTTCACACAATATGAGGGGCGATTATCCTTCTTGATGTCGAAATGTTGTGAATCACAAAATGAGGAGTTGTTGTAACCAATTTTGTGCGAAATAGTGTGATGGCTAAGGGTAAAAAGATGCATTTTCAAGTGGATAAGATGACAAACCTCAATGAACATGTTGTATGTGAAATGTCGTCTCGATTTGAGTGTAATTTCCAAGTCCAAACAACTTAAAATAATTCGTCAAACGTCCCAAAAAGACACACCAACTCCCACACCTATTGTTTAAGCCTAGAATGTTCTAGGCGGGTTTGTGAGGAACGAGCGAAGCGTCTGTTCCAGATGGTGGGGGACTCCAAGCTCCTGCAAAACAAGGGTCCGTGGGCGGTCACCCAGGACACTCTCCGATGCTTAAGTTAGAGAGGGAAGAAGAGTTTTAGTTTATGTTTAGAGAGAGAGAGAGTAGTCGGTTTACCATCAATGCATATATGAATGTATTTATAGTGAGTTGGCCTGGGCTTCAGGCATTAATTGCCATTGTCAGGCGTCCTAGATCGGCCATGCTTTATCTAGACCGCCTACGGCGAGCATTTAATGCTCAGTCCTGCTGTGTTCGAGGTGGGTATCTTGGGGAGATCTTGCCCCTTA